GCGAATTTTCTAGAGCGCCAAAAGTTAACCAAATATGTCAATTGAATGCTTTGTGTGGCAGTGATAAAGGGGATCATAGAGGGGGAAATGGTGGAGTTGGGGAAAGGACATGGTATGTGGCAAACAAACAAAGCGCAGGACCAACTAACCAAGAACGGAGCTTGTAGGTTAAAAAGCAATTTATCTTTGACTTTTGCCAAGTAAATTCCCGCCATTGTCTAAAGTGGTTCGAAATGCCCTCAGACCAGTGCCGTTCTGTTACTGCTGCCACATAAGTATTTTAGTGTTAGAGGATGCCTTGGAAGTTGTGGGCGGTTAGTTATGTGCATGTGGCAAAGGCACATTTAACTTAACTAGTTGCCATTTCGAGTATTTTCAACCACTCAATTACACCGAACCACAGACATTCAATTGAGCAGGCAGAGCCATATGTAGCTTAAGCAAAAGGCAAACAATGCTCCTACGAATGGAGAAATTATAGCAGTTGGTTGCTGCAGTCGTTGTTGCAGTTGCAAGTCGCCCCTTTTTGCCTGCGGAACTTTTCAATAAATTCTATGTTGGCATTTGGAAATTTGATCAAAACAGCACGTAAAACTATTTGAACTGCTAACCCAAATAAGCTGGTGCATTCAGGCATCCAGCCATCCAGCCACACCGAACATCATCTCCTTCACCCTCCGTCCCGTTTGGCAATCCTTTCTCCAAGTCGCGCCAATGAACTGTGTGCAATCAATAGATGCGATTCAAGTTGCTGTTGCAGTTGTTGCAGTTGCTGCTGTAGCAGCCACACGAGCTACAAGATACTTTCTGTGCAACCATAGAACTTCCCACATGCCGCAGCGGAATGCCATGGAATGTGCACACGCATCTTCGACTGCCATCCGATCTCCCAGCTTTTCTCCCATCTTTTCCGCAGACTTGTGGTGGGTGTCCCCGTTCCCCGTTTTCCTTCCCCTCTCCCTTTCGAATTTCCAACCCCGCACTTTCTACCCATCTCTGCTGGCATGGCAGGAGCTTACATTTATGCGCGAAATTGTCGTATGCATTTGCACATTCATAAATTCTCGTTGAGCGCCCCCAAAGCGACAGCAGACCGGAGCCCAAGGAATGCTCTGTAGACACAGAAAGGAATTTCCTAAAAATCTCTGAAGTTAAAGGTAATCAAAATGTTGAAAGATAAAAGGAAGTTTGAAAATTTACAATTTTTTTCTCTCGTACAATTAAATAAATAAAATAAAATTGCTTGAATAGATTTCTCCTTCCTTTCTGATTACCAATTTATTTCGGATTTTTGATTCAAATTTAATGTTTTGTAAAAAAGAAAGATGCTGCAAGTCACTTGAGCTGATTTTTTTCCCAGTGCATGCCATTAGAGTGAGGGGTAAGAGATCTTCTGGTGCACAGATAGTTGGCAACCCGTTCCAGTGTCTCTCAGCTGATGCTGCTCGCTCGTGCGGCATTTAAATTTCATTTTTAATTTTCTTTCTTTTTTTGAGTAGATTTTTTCCCCCTTTTTCATACTTTGCATCTTCCTGCTGCAGGCACATTTTATTATTGCATTTTACAACAACGCGGGCAACCTTAGAACAGCACGTCATTAGGCGATAAATTATCTCGTGCGCGTTGCATTTTGCATAAAATGTTGCCGCTGCCTTTGGATTTGGAGCGGTAAAAGTGTGCCAACGTTGCAGCTGTGTGCCAGCAGCGGCATTAAAGGATGCCAGGCAATTTGAATTTGCGAAATTCCATGGGGGCCCAGACCCGTTAGTCGGAGGCCGAGTTAGTTGGTTGGCGGCCGATGGCGAGGCCAGGCAGCCAGGCAGGCCGGCTTATCTATGCACAAGATGTTGCCGTTTTGATAAGCTCGGCGCAGCAGCCGGCAATTTATGTGCCGCTGCTGCAGCAGCAGCAATTGCAGTTGCAGTTGCAGTTGCATTCATCATCAACTGCAGCAGCGGCAGCAACAGTTGCTCCCAGGAATGCAACGCAGCGAAGGCGAACAGTGGGAGATTTGATCAGTTTACCTCGTTAAAATGTACTTAAATAGCTATCGCTATCGCGAAACTGTATTTTCCTTTATTAGCATTAGTTTTATCTATTAATGAAAAATTTATAGCTAAAACTAGTTGTATTAAAAATAATCTCTTAAGTCAATTTAATACAAAAACATAAAATGCCTTTCAAGTGGGAATTTAAATTTAGAATTTTTTCATCCAAAATCTGTCCAACTCCCCATTGTGCGGCGACGTGCGTTCAACTATGCAAATTTGTGCAGCAGCGCCCAGTTCCCCCGCCTTCTTGACGTTATCCTCAGGAACGGAACCCATCTCCACTGCAATCTGCCCCCCACACTATTGACTTGCAACTTGCTACAACTTAGTAAGTGGAGATGGGAGTATAGTATATACTATACTATACGTATACATATACTTGTCAAACAGCATTCAAGCACGATTCTGGGAAGCATTCCTCCGGCGCTGAGTTGACTGGGAAGACTTATGCATTGCTTTGACTACGACAGATTTTAATACAAATGAGCTGAAATTATATAGGGTTACACGGTTTATAGGGGAAAGGAATTGAAGAAGTGAAGGCAGATAGATAACGTGTTCTCTGGACGAAAGCTGGATGTCATGACAGTTCAATCACCGAGATTGCCGATCTTGTTTGCAACAGCGCTGAGTTATGGCCAGCGATGATGGTTTCTGGAAGCGATCTAACAGAATTGATAGCTCTTTGGCCAAGTGGTTTTTTTTTTTAGAAAGCTGTAGAATAGTTTCAATTGGAAGTGAATGTCAAATGCATTAAATAGATGGTTCTATGCGAGCATTGACTCGTTGAGCGACGAAGCAATTAATCTGCAAGTTTAACGATTTCGCTAACGACTCCACAGCAGCACACGAGCAGAAAGGTTTTAGGGATAATGCTGCTGCTGCTGACATGTCCCTCCAACCATTTAACCAACCAAGCAGCCAACCAACGTACTAACCAACCAACCAAGTATCCAACCCTCCAACCGGCGATGACAAATGGCAAATTGCACCACGGCAAGGTGTGCACACTGGATGACAAAAAAATCGCTGAACTTTGACTCTCGAAAACCGAGCGTCGTTAGCGGCGTAGTAGTTGCCAAAGCGCAATTAAACGCCCCGCCATTGAAACAATTACGCTATAACAATTACGCCCTGGTTGCACATGCAACTGCTACTGGAAGTGCACTGGAAAATCTGTCACCTAAATATTTGAACTTTTAACTTAAAAACATTTAAATTTGCTAAAGATATACAAGAATAGTTGAAGATTGAGAGATCTTAAAACGATTATTTCGCTAGAAGCCTAATAAAATGGTAATACCTATAGCTTAGTTTCAAAACATTTCTCTCAGTGCACATGCGGTTACCCTTTTGTCCGATCTTCCTGCTACCCCTCAACCTTTAACAGCGTTCTGTGTTTGCAAATGTGCCGCACTTAGCGGGACGCAGTAGTTCCATTGCTGACGTGGCCGTCGAAGGCATTTCCATGCGTCAAATTGCCGCCGGGGCATTGCGTGTAATTACAGCAATAAAAATTGCAACACATTGCGTACAAACATGCAACATAAGCGAGAGTGCGGCGCGAATTCCAGAGTCGAGAACCCGAGCTTTAAGATACATCCCTCGCAGCATGTTCAGCAATTATCTAATTTATAGGAGTCCATTTATCAAAACCGAAACAAATATTCTATTTCCGAGGGCAGCAAAAAAAGAACCACCAGACTTGCCACAATTTGTGACTGACTAACGAGCAGTCAGCAGCACATTCAGCACATTTGGCCAACAACCGACTGCACTTGGCCACTTGGGTGGCAGGCAGTCTGATTGGAGCTGTATGGTTGGGGATAAATGAGAGGATGGGGGGTGGGGACGTCCGTCGAGCGGAACGCAAGTTGATTGCATTTTTAGCATAAATTTCAACGCATTTGACTAATGTCCCGACATTTGTAAGGGGGGGATTTCCACTGCCGCATTTGGCCATTTTTCACCCGACAAAGTGCTCAACCTGGCATTGGCCATTATCATTTCCACTTCCTTGGAAGAGCTCCTACAGCTAATAGATAATGTGATGCCTGATGGACGACTTTCGACAAAGTTGTATGCAAATCAACACTGCAGCCCGCTGGCCATGTAATTGTTTCAACTGCTTAATATCACGTATACGCACTGCCGGACCGACTGCAGACGAAAAATACAACGACAACGACAACGCCAACGACGGTCGACGGTCCGACCATGGTCGCGTCAACAGCAGAACAGCAGCAGAAAAATTAATTAACACGCCAAGTCTGCCTGGACACGCCTGCAGCACGTAGCGGAGACTCCAACTCGGACTCGGACCCAGACAGAGACCCACAACCGGAGCCGGGGACTTACCCAGAATCAGAGTCAGAGCCATTACCCAAAAGCGCACTGAAAGAAATTGATGAAGGTGAACTTCTTCATCTTACATTTTCCTTCTCAGTGTTTAAAGGAAATTCTTATCTTATTATCCAATAATCAGATATTTACCGTACCTATTCCACATTTTATGTTATTTTATACTTTAAAAAAACATGTTTTATAAGTCGCATAAGAATACATATACCTAATATATTTTTTTAAAATTCACAAAGTAATATTACTGATTTTCTCTGAGTGCATAGGAAAACCCTGAGCCCAGCACGGCTCCGTTGTTTGGCAGTTTCTATTTCTCAGATTTTTTCTGTGTGCTCTGGGTATTTATGGGCATTGCAGTAAAAACCTCGATGCAGTTGTGGGTGGCAGGGTGGACTGGGAGGGCGGTGTTAAGTGAAAAGCGTGAAATTTATAACAGCCAATAGATTAAGCTAGAATATAAATAACATTTTTAGTTTTTTTTTGCCGTGGCTCAGTTTTTTCTTTTTAGCCGCTTTGTTGTCCGCCTTTTGTCTATTGTGTGGAGCAAAAGCAGAGATTCTTAATCAATTGTTTTTTGCTCTTTTGCAGTTGCTGCCGCCGTCAACCAACGGAAAAACTCAACCGCACTCCTGCCGTATCTGCAGATCCAGAGGCTCGCCATCACAAGACTGACCATCAGCAAGCCCCACACCCCGTACTATCTGCCATGTATACCTATCCTAACGCCCTACAACTACGATCAGGGTGAGTACTTCCAGGTTTGGGTTCTATTTGACCCCAAGATGTGCTAATATGCTCAAGTTATTTCCCCAGACAACCAGCCCATCTACTGCAGCTGGTATCGAAATGACGTGGTCGTCGAGCAAACGTCCTATCGCAAAAATGACTTCTTCATCTATGAAAATGGCACACTGCGTCTGCCCACGAATGAGAAGGCCAGCGGCGTATACCACTGCAAGATCGAGTGGGATGAGTCAGCGGTAATATCGGACAGAATCACCGTCGAGTATCCAGGTGAGTTGGCCATTTAAGCTCAGAAAACTTAACAGTTTAGATTTTAGAAATGCAAACATATAAACTTACTATTCATAAAGTACAATAAATGATCAAAGTGAATAAAGTTTGGAATTGCTTTAAAAAAGAAACTTTATCTTTAAAGCCCATAATTTTTTTTTCAGTGCTCAAGCGTCTTTTTCCGGGTCAGCAGCAGACGGCCAACATCACTGCCGTGGAAAACAAGCCGCTCGTGCTGAGCTGTCCTTTCCTGAGCGTTCCACCTGCCCGTTTTAGCTGGTATTTTGGCAACGATTCCCTGACAAATGACAACAGGCGAGTAAAGATCAGTGTTGAAGCATCGAGCAGCGGGCCAAGACAAGTATATCAACGTATATTCTTTGAGAGCTTTCCAGCTGGATGGGTTGACCCAAACTTGAAACTATTTACCTTTTAAAAGTTGTTAGGAAATAACTAAATTTTTTTATATTTTTACAGTGCGCTCACCCTGTCAAATGGTACTTTGATTTTGCGGCAATTACGCCCGGAACAGGCTGGCAAATACAAGTGAGTAAAAATATAATGTATTGAGGATATAAAAGTATTATTAACATATAACATTTTATTTATTACTAAGTCCCTGAAGTGCGTTTGCTTTCATTTTTAAACGGATAGTTAAAATTTAATAGCACTCTGCGGAAAAACAAATAATCCTCTTGTACGATGTTAAATTGCCATTAAATACTCAGTTAAAGTTAACTGCTAATTTTAAGATTGCAGTTTTAAACACTTGCACATTCAACTTGATGTATAGTTTCCCTCTAAAGCAACTGCTTTCCGGATCTGCCTAGTTTAACTAAATTAAGACCGAGGGCAATTTTCCATTTGGCTGCTGCCGCTGTACCTGCTGCTGCTGCACTCCACCTTCCCTGTTGTAGCAAAATCAACACCTTTAGCGGCACTCTATCAGAATACCCACTCCCATGGCACACTCATATGAACATTCACGCACCACTCGCACCGCCGGCGTGCCCTTAAACAATGCATTAATTAACACTTAGTGGCGGCCGAGTGGTGGCTGTAATTGTGGCCATTGTCCATGTCAATTATCGCGCGAGACCACCACTAACCATTATCCATTATCCACTATCCCCGTTGCAGATGCGTGGCCCAGAACGTATTTGCTGGCAAGCCCCATCGCCAGTTCACTTGGCAATTGCGAGTGGAATCCAAGGATAACCCATATTATCCTAAAAACGAGGCGGGAATTCCGGAGACACCCGTTTCGGAGGCACAACTACTGCCGGCCTTTCAGAATGCCACCGTTTTTGTACCCACAGGCGGATCCGTATTGCTGCAGTGCCACGCTGTGGCAGACTTTGTGCCAATTGACTGGTATCTGCAGACTCCCAACAACAAGTTGATCCGTCTGAGCAACAATAGTGTGGCCTATTCCATCACAAATGCTAGTGTATCCCGCCACGAAGGGCGCTACAGTTGTATCACACTATTGGAATCGCAGAATTTCCAAGTAATTGTAACCACACCACCGAGGATCGTCAGCCGCCTGCCCGTCGAGGTGGTGTATATTGGTCTCTCGAGGACACTAACTTGCCGCGCAGAGGGTCATCCGGAACCGAGTATCTCCTGGTATCATAATGGAGTACAGCTGAACAGCTCCTATACACGCTACATAAACGGCAATGAGTTGCATGTCCACTCATTTGATTCCAAGGAGGAGGGCATCTACCAGTGTGTGGCCAAGAATGTGGCTGGTGAGGACTCGGCTACGGGTGAACTGCGATTCAATCGCCAGCTGGAGGAGGTCAACCCTCTACAAAATATCCGCTGCTATCCACACAGCTTTCATTCGATCAACGTAACATTTGATAGCCGCACCTTAACGTCAATGTTTGTCGTTTATATTGTGAGGAGTAATCCACATAGTTGGACCTCATTCTCACCCATGAAACTGAATCAGACCTCGTACGTGGTGATATCCACCAGTCTGCCGGTCTATGAGCCTTTTGCGCTGATCACTCGGGTTCTTTTGCCCACTACAGAGGTAAGATCAGCAAATGCGGTTCCCCAGCAGATGATCCTAAGCTCGTTGAGAAGTACGCCAGTCATTTGCTGTACCCAGGGATGTGAGTATAATATAATATTGACCAACATCGATAATCTTATATCTTGAAATATGATTTTCTCTTCCGCAGTGATGCTCCGACCGATTGCCGTGGGCAATGACACCTTTGTAAAGTGGTCGCAGGGTCAGTTGGACAACAAGAAGTACTTCATCCTGCAGTTCTCCATCAATCACACTCATCCACATCCCTCCCAGCTGTTAAACGACTCTCTATTGGGCACAGTGACTTCCGTGGAGGAAAAAGCAGATGAAGTGCGTAGCCATCTGACCAAAATTCAACCACTGAATCAATCTGCAGCAGCCACTGTGCTGAGAAATGTGGAGCATGAGGATAACGTTGTGGACGATGTTTTGGAGCTGGAAGAGGACATCTTTAGTCTGGTGGTGGATGCTAGTGTTACAGGCATGCTCCTGCAGCGTTTTACAAGAATTAAGATGAGAGTGCTGGTCATCACCACAGAGAATGAGTTCCTCGGTCAGGACTTTCGCTACGTCCAGTGGAAGATTGTGAGTAGACTGTACTGTAGGGGATATTTTTTCATCTCTCAATGAAAACTTTGGAGTGCCTATTATAATACGGTTGGAATTATATTTTCCTTTTCAGATTGAAAATGGCACTTCAGAGCAGGCGAATATGCCCTTTCGTCTAGTTTCCATAGAATCTCGGGCTCTGGCGTTTAAGTTTCTGGATAGTCTGAATGCGACCTGTGTGTCGGCGTGCCACAATGTGATACCAGTACAAATGTCATTTCCCAGAGTGGAAACAGATTGTAATGACCACAACATTTCCAACTCCATGCTGTGGGTCACAAAACTCAAAGCTGATGTTCGATACAATCTGCGTTTTTACAACTGCAAGACGCAGATTTTCTATGGCGAAATAGATGTGAAAACTGAACAAGATCGTAAGTTATTAACGTATTTATATTTGAATTTCCAATTTTAAGTCTTTATTATTTGCAGCTCCTGGCACCATTAGCAATTCAAAGTTGATTAAACAGAATGGCCTGAAGTTAACGTGGGAGCCACCTGTAAATCCCAATGGTTGTATCCACCACTATGATATCCGCTGGTCCTTGGACAATGTCACGCACGAAGCTATCGTGAAGGATTGCGTGTCCTGTTCTTATAAAGTAAGTAATCTTAAGAAATACTTATCTTTATACACTTCTACAATATATATTATTATACTTTTAAGTTTCCAAATGTCTCGGAGACGGACAAAATCCATGTGGCAGTTCGTGTGGTGGGTGATACTGGAGCTGGAGCTCCCATGTACTTTGACATGATAAATAACAACCATACTTGGTTGGAAAAGGATCCCCTGTCGCACTCGGAGGTTTACAGTGGCATTGCCATAGGCTCATTGCTGTCCATTGCCTGTGTCTTTCTCTTCGGGCTGTTTATAATATTTCAGCAGCGCAACTTCAAGGCACGCGCCCAAGGACCCACCCACCTGACCACACCCACGGACATTAATTTCGGTAATCTGAGCAGTGCCTCGGGGATGCCGGGAGATAGTGCTGGCGGTCTGAGTGGCGGCACATTGCAACAGGATTGCCACGAGATGCAGACACTCATACCGCGTTCACGTTATCACATCGAATTGCTGCCGGAGCACACTCTGGAATACCAGACTAGTTCGGCAGCCGTGGCAGTCGTCCATCTGGCCAATGGCAATGGGAATGTTCAAGTGGCAAGGCGTTCAGATCAGGATGGAACTGCTCAAGGGGATTTGGGCATAGCCGGAGTGCACAACCTATCGCAGTTGCCATTGTGCGGCGGTGGTGGAACCTCGCCGGAGCGAAAAACCGTACAGGATGCCATGTTGCAGGAGGCTAAGGCATTCTTTATACCCTACAGGCATACGCCACCCAATGCAGTAGCTTTGGGAAGCTCCAAACAGTGCGGCGTGGCTGGTGGCTCCGAACTGGAGGTAATTGTGCCGCCCAATTCGCTGCCTTTGGTCAACACCATGCCGGGATTGGGTGTAACCAGTGGTGGTGGCGGCAGCGGAGGAGGTGGTGGTGGCTCCTCCAGCCGGAGAAGTGGTAGCCTGAGCAGCAGTAGTGCCAGCAGCAGCAGCAATGGCAGCAGTAAAAAACAATTTCACACCAACTTTGTGCGCCACTCGAATTCCAATGATGGGATTTGCCTGCTGGCCGAGGAGGAGGCGGCTGCCACATTAACACCCACATCAGAACGTGAATATGCGGCCGTGTGCCTCACCAATGGTTTCAATCTGCCCGCCGATGTGGCCAAATCGGGGGGCGGAAGTCAATATACCACCACTAATAATAACAATAGCAACAGCACTAGCCAGAAATCAACAACTGCCAAGGAGCGTCAGCCGCGAGGCAATGGCAATCCGATCTCGTTCAGCCACAATGCATTTAAAGTTCCTGCCAACGGACCATCGTCCGTTAACGTTAATCATTCGTCGGCGGTCAAGCAATCTTGGCCAGCGGCGACGGTGGTCCATCGACGGGCCCAGGTAATGTACTAAGATAAATGGATTTTTGAACTTATCTAATGGGTTTTCCTCACCAGGTGGATCCCAATGGGTGAAGCAAGCAGTATTTTTATGAAGCTACCACATAGAAGCAAACAAAACAAAGTAAAACAAAAGGAAAGGAAAATTACATAAGAGAAAAAGCCACATTCACAGCTCGAAACATTCCAAAAGAATATTGATATATATATATATATATGGAGATGATGATGAGATCACTATGCGTATATGGTGATGTTTAGCATTTATAAAGAGTACATTTTATAAATGTAAATATTTAGTAACTGAAACTATGGAACTATGGGAGAAATGATTAATTAAGATGATATTTATACACATGTATATCTACATACACTTGTATACAAAAACATGTACGCTAAGTTGTATGCTATAGTTTTGTCGCGTTTCAACGTTTTTACCATACTTTTGTATTTGTTTAGTTTTTGTTTGTTTTTCTTTCGTTAATTGAGGCTAATTTTTACTTGTAACTTCTATTACATATAAACATAATTTATTGTTGCTTTCGATGCAAAAACACACACAAAGCAAACACATACAGAATTACATACATACATACATAGCAATAGACCGCGCAGCCCGCAAGTATGCATTACAATATTTGTCGCTGATAATTACTACGTTTAACAATTGCTCCGTAATTGCCGCAAAAAATTCAATTACACTCACATAGTATAAATATACATATATACGCAAACAGAACAGCCAAAAAACCACAAACACTGCAATAGCCCACAATCAAGCACCCAACTATCAAACTATCAAACCACTCTCAACCACAATAGTCACAAGTGTTCACATCGATTCCGATTTAAAACGTAATCTATTCAATAATATTTGTAGTTTTATTTTATTTATATATTTGTAGACTTGTTTAAGCGAAATGTTTAATGTTTAATTTCCGCATATTTACTGCTGCATTTTGTTTTGTTTACACAACCGATATATCAAATGTACCTGATTATATTCATTTTGCATTCTTGTTTTTGTGCTCTCGCTCTCTCTCTCACACACACAAACACTATTAACACACACACACACACACAAACACTCCTCTGACAACAGAAAACAATTCCAATTTGTGCACACATCCATATTACATAACTCTATAATAAGCCACAAAATCCATCGTATTGTAACATATATATTAAATTCACCAACCGTACCTCGACAGAATACGAAAATGTAGCTACGCCAAAAGGAGAAAATAAACCCAAAATACCCGAGAGCTCCTGCTCCTTTCCACAGATATTATTATTATTATTTTTGATAGGAATAGTAGTAGGGAAAGTTGAAGTAGTAGCACCACACACACACACACACAACGAGTATTTGTCGAGTTTGAAGATGTATTTTGTGAATTGTTGTTCAGTGTGAAACGAGATGCGAAAATTGTTACGAGATTCAGACACAGAAACAGAAACACAACCATACACACACCATACCCCCTCAAAGAATAAAAACAAAACCTAACTATAGATACATTCCACAGGCGTATGCAAGTCACAGATACACCAATACACATAAACATATGACACCAATTGGAGATACGTTTTAAAATACAAAAAAGTATATATAGATATATATATGTATATTCAATGTGAACGAAATGTGTTTGAAAACTGTAACTGTAACTGTATACGTATTTAGAGTCTAAGTGCAATACCAACAAATAATTAAATAGCAAAAGATAACCTTTAAGATCCCTGAGGCAGAACAAAACCAACAACTATAAACAATAGTACCTTTCCACTCAAGCAGATGCAACGTTCAAAGTAGACTCACATCGAACCCAGTTAGCTGCGAATTTCCATACCAACAACTTAGACCATCCTTAAAATAAACAATCTGAATTGTGTTCAAGCTGAATGAAGCCGCAGACTCTGAACTTCCGAGTCAACGAAAGGAGTTATCAATTTGTATAGCCGAATCATATTACAATCTACAAAACAAATGTGCATGCAAGACACAAAAGCCACAAAATGAACTTTAACCTACGAAATGCATTTAAATACACACACAAACACAAAATATATTCCGAAAGAACAACTCAAAATTCCTATACAAAAGTAAAAAATAAAAAAACAAATAGAATGATGGAAAATCAATTTTAAACGTTACGAAAATTAAGAAAACAAAAATGAACTAAAACTATTATATGCAGCAAAAGGCAACAAGAAAATTTATGTACTAAAGTTATATAATTAGGCGTAAGAAATCCATATGAATGTACGTGTTCGGAAAAGAAAAGAAAAACATGAAAATTGAAGGATAAGAAAGGGGAAAATTAAGTAAAATAGCTGCGATTGTGATCGCCGTGTAAGTGGATGTGATAAATGTTTAAATTATTTAAGCGCAAAAACAATAAAGAGATAAAGAAATTAAATATTAGGAAGACAGGAACAGAAACAGAAACAGAAGATAGAAAAGCGTTTTGCGACTTTTGCAACGGTTTTTGGCCAACGGAAACCACTCAAATAACTAAGAGTCCACTAAAATTGTAAGCAAGCGATTATTATGTTCTTATCTTTGGCAAAACTGCTGCTCCTAGCACACTCTCTACTAAGTCTACGCATAAAGAACGTAAAATAAATTCAAATTATGAGTATATTTTATAATTTTTGTAATTTTAATTTGCATTTAAGTCCACATTTTGTATACCTCATTATTAGAGTGGCAAAGAAAACTAAATTTTGTAAACATATTTAGGCTTGGTTTATTCGTTTAACAATTAGAGCGGCATATTTGAACTATCCATAACTGAACAAACGATACGAAAACTAATGTATTTTTTATGCAATTTATATGCATTGTACATGCAGGCGAAATTATTAATTTGAAGCTATTAAGCTGCCAGCGATTCGTGTTAAAGATTTCGATGCAAGTAAATTGGCGGTTACCAACAAACCAGGCCAGAAAAAAAAATAAAGGACAAGCTTAATTGGCATGGCTAAAGAGTCTAAGAGAAAAAATGTAAGAAAGATCGGTGTTTGTTTAGAGAAAACAGAAGATATGGCAAAGAAGAAATGAATGCAACCTTAACTATTGGAAAATATACTAAAAATAAGTTATGATGAAAATACAGCCGAAATGTGTTTGATTTATTTAGATAAGAGTTGGGTCTTTTCAGCTTTGACTGTACCATTAAAAAGTGTTCAAAGTTGTTTATAAAATATAATTTTTTTATTGGTTTTAGTAATTAAATCCTTATAACGTAAGTATAAAACATCGATTGATTAAATTTCTGGAAATTCATATATGCATAAATTTTGTCTTCGTTGGTAACATTTTACAGCGGTGTAGAGTTCGGTTTATAGATAAAGATATTTATAGTACTAGCGGATTCTAAATACATAGGTATGGTACAATATCAATAACGTATTCACGGGTGTTTAAGGGATCATCACAACGAAGTGCTAAAAAAAAATGATCACAATCGATCACAAAAATTGCAAAATTATCATTTGACGCCCGATGGCATGTTTAAGCATATTCATTCTGCTCTTTCTTTCTCTTTAAGCTTAAACTAGAGGCAACATAATGCGTTTTTATAACTAACTTGAGCTATGGATAGGCGAATTAAAGTTAATGAAACAACTATGCTATGCACTATTAAATCAACAAGCGTCGCTTTAACATTAAGCATGCCCCCATTGGTTGCTGGGGCATCACATTTAGGTACGCGTAATTATTATGACACCTCTGAGTTGTCGGTTCTATTCACATTTCGGTTTCAAATAGATCAGGTCCTAAATGCATTATGGTTTTCTCACATAATGCACTTCAGTTTCACCGAATGCTCAGCACACCTTCTCAATCATTTTCACCAGTTCTTTGTACAATATACAATCTCGTCCACGAGGTTTGCAGATCTCTCGATGATCAAGGCGAATCCCGCAGACGTCACCAATTCCAGGATCTGTAGTTAAAGCATCAAAATATTATTATACAGTCAGTTCATAACATAGGATTACTTTTCTCAATGACAATGAAAGGTGATTTAATTATTAATATTATTTTTTAAGATTATAAAATGCGATTTCATTATCAATACTTTTTTCAGTGATAAGAAATTGATATTTGAGGAATTCTAATTCATTATCATTATTCTTTTCATGAAAACTGAAAACTATGATGATCCATATAGGTAAAACTCTGATAAGCACTAACCCGCTGAGTCCACGCCCACAATCCGTAGATACAGCACTGACATGAGCGTCAAGGCGGTCTCCACAAAGCTAAACACTTCAATCTTTAAGTGACCCAGATGATATAGTCCCGCAAATCTCCGATGAAGGTCCAACAGGTACTTGTTGTCTGTGCGAAAATATTGGAATAATAAAAATCGTAAGATATCGTTATCATATAAACTCACTTTTCTCAATCTCCAACAACTCCACGGATCGCGAGAGTAACGGCGCCTTGATGCTGGCCAAGTGGGATCCTCTATGAGGAACGGAGTAAAAGAAGCAACCACGGGCGGATCTCCAAAGAGGAGTCATCGCCGGACGACCACTTTCCCAGGCATCCACCATCAATTGCTTAATGAAGAGGCCACCCTTCGAGTGTCCCACATAGATAATGGGATGACCATGACCCACTCGATGCTGAATAAGCAATTCGGCCATTTCCCTGGAGCGTTGTATCAAGCTAGAGCGTTGCTCTTTTCTTTTCCAAAGCGGCCTCCAGAGGTACGGATCCGTGGTGTAGTTGACTGCTATAACCCGCACACCAGGACAATCCAGAGGAAGCCAATCCCCAGGCCAACACTTGGAGTAGTTGGGATCATTGGGCGAGGGCTTGCTCTTGCGAGCGGACTTTCGCGGCGTGGCTGGCGAGGCAGGACGTGGGCGGTCATCCTTCCCTACGCCTGCTGTTTCCTCATTTCCATTCGCCTCTAGCATAGACTCCAACTCAGCTTGTAGAAGGCGGCTATTGTCCTGCATTCTCAGCCGGAAAGTGGGAAAGCTGTACTCGATACCCTCGCAGATCTGAATGTCTTCTGGCTCTCCGCAGACATAAGCATAACTTTAAAACGGAAATTTATTAAATAAACTGTGAAAAATATAAATTAACAAAAACTTACTCGCTATCATCGCTATCGGAAGCATTGAACTGGAAGTTCTCTGGCTGCATAGCCACGGATCTCTGCAGCCGTGTCCTCTGTCTTACTGGAGCATCATCTGGGGTGTCCATATAGCGGTTAAGAGAAGTAAACTTGGCCCTTTTCTCCCGCGGAGCTGGATGAATAGCCGCACTGCGGGAGTGACGAGGTCTCTTTGGCGGACGCACTGGAGGACGTGGTGGTCTTTCAAATTCCACCGGCTGGCGATCATTCTGCCAGAGACCTTGCTTCCACGTATTAACTAAGGATCCATGTAGACCATGGATGAGCACAATATCTGCTCGAATAGGCTGGCCCGGTGGTGGTTCGGCTAGGATATTGATGGTACAACAGCTGGGCGCATCCGAGCGAACGCTGTAAAAGGGCGGACCCTGCATCGGATTGCTGGTCGGACAGGGTGTGCAGGGCGTGGAGGGAGTACTCATAGTGTCTGGAAGACTCTCCAAGCCATCCTGCGATTTGCGCATTTTGAGAAGCTTGAGTAATGGCCCCATGCGATTGGAAACTGTTCGGGAGAAAAATTAATTTCATTAGAAATATTTCAAAAGTAATGACAGCTAAAAAGTATTATCAAGTTCAGGGTTGGTTTGATGATAAAAAGTAATTTCCCTCAAAGAATTATATATTTTAATTGGCATTATAAAAAAATATATAAAAATATTTCCTTAAATATCTAAGAATGTATAAATAACAATTAAGGCCACATATCTTAAGACATTTTTCTTATTCCATCGAACTTTGGCACACTTTTTTCTATTAATTAACTAGACTCACCCTGAACCGAGGACAGATTCAGTGATATTGTGTTGGCGGCAAAGGCCACCAAGTTAGTAAGGGCCTGCCGGCTGGAGGCCAGATTCTGGAGAACCCTCAGAACTCGTACATCGCGAATGCCCTTGATGCCTCTGGCCACGCCATTGGCCAATGGAAGAACAAGTCTCACCAAGATGCCGAAGACCACTCGCATGCTGCCACCATTTTTGCTGTCTCTGGAGAGGATTCATATGTATAGCCATGGGTACTTATTTTATTTATATTATAACTTACGCCTCCATAAGGGCACCGGCACTGCTCGATCGTACCAGATCGCTGACCGCCTGCTCTTCCTCCTGGCGATCGATCTCCACCTCGTTCTCATTGTTTGTACTTTCATTGTGGACCAGCAAATGTGAGTCATCGACTGGCGCATTGTGTGTCACCGGGACGCTCTCCTCCCCGCCGATTCGCATCATGGCAATGTCGCAGACGTAATGTTCATCGATTTCCTGCAGCGGTGAGCCGCTTTCTTGTCCTCCGCCACCAACGCGTTGGTTTCGGTTTTCCCTTTGGTTATTGTTCTTCAGGTGCTTGATGTCAGAGGGATCGTCTTCCACGGAGGGATTGCCATTGCAGGCATAAGTATCTTGAGCTGGCTCAGAACCTCTGGCAATCATTGCCCAACTTTCTGTTCTTGTATTCCTGCTGCTTCTTTTCAAAGGACTGGCTGTGAGCCAATTAATTCGTACCCAACATGTTGCTGGCAGGTCTATCTGCAAATGCATTGAAATCGTTCAATTTAATAGTGACCATAGGCTAGATACCACTAGAGTCCACTGGCTGCAATGCATCAATGTCAATGGTGGTCACTGGGCTAAAAACAATTCGGTCAAGTGCAGTGCTCTCCCTCGGTTTCCTGCTCTCTGTTCGCACCACTTCAAGGAAAACAAACTTGCTAAAAATACCACATTCACTTGTCGCTGCTCTGCAGTAAATAACTAATACGACACGTGGGCATGCTGTAATAATAGTCACGGTACGAAGGACAAACAAAGATTGCTTGAAAAATACAAATCCTTTTGTAAAAGAAGGAAAATGTGAGATTGAAAGAAAATATTAATCCGGTGCATCCCATTTTTTTAAACTGAACTAAGTTATATATGGTAGCTTAACAGGTATATGTTATAGACCGCCATGTGTTACCTAAAAGGTATAACAAATTTCCCTATTTTCTGGGTTAATTGTTTTTTGACCCTAATAACATCGTTGGGCGGTTCAATTTAGCTTACAGAATGTTACTGCCAGCCGTAAAAACAAAGGTATTTATAAAGAACGCTCCCCGGCCGTTGCAATCCAATTAGATGCGAAAGCAACAAATGTCAGATATATATTGTACTGCCGCATAATGACAGTGACGTGCGCCGTGGCAAATGCCCTTAGGTTATGAAAAACCCAGCAAAAGGTTCAAGTTGAGGGTCGCGGTGTAGAAAGAACGCTTCTCTACAAGGAAAATATTCTCATCGCGTTGTATTCGCGGCTATTTATAGCGAAAAAATGCCGCAATATGCTGTGCTGCATGCGCCTGCCACACTCAATATATGCAAAACCGACAACTCAGTGGTTGTCTGTCCATCAAAAAACCAACTTTGTAATATATATTATGAAACTCAACAAGTTAGAATGCCAGTTATGTACAATGACAACCGCACACCCACTCAACTTACACTTGATGTGAAGATTGTAGATTGTAGAGAAATGCAAACCGCTCGCAATGAGAATCTCAGACCGACTGGAACGGCACCTTGGCTATACCAAATGGCGAGGCCTGTGTTTTCTGCGGTTATACCAGCCCCTAAAGTACTATGGCACTTGCAATAGTGAAATTGAGGCAAATACTTTGGCCTGAAGTGGTCGGGCAGCAACGGAAAATGGACAACGGAAAGTTCAATTCATTTGGCATACATCGTTCCTTATCGTTCATTGTTTCATTAAGTGCCACCACCAACAATCGACAATTCCGATGAAATGAAAGTGTTTGTGTCCCTCTAACTAATTGCAGGGACCAGGGGGAAGTTTTTCCAATCTAAACAGACAGAAATGCCGATTGGCATCGCCTTATGGATTAGCCAGCCAAATTGATTTTATGGAAATTTTCGTAAATTAATTGGATCGGCCAGAAGGCATTCTTATCTTATGCGAATTTATTTATTTACCGTATCCAATTGACGGGGGTTGCGAACTCTTTTGACAGACAGCACTTAGTATGCTTTATGGTGCCCACAAAATGCTAATGCCCAGATAAACTCAATCAAGTGCCAGTCTATTGTTATACGAGCCCTGGAGGTGCACTATTTTATGGGTACGTATAGTATATGCTTAGTATGCAGTGCACGATATCAGATCTTTTGGTCAAGATAAAAAAGTCAATATGGAAAATGCGTTTTAAATGCACTCTTTTGTGTTTATACCATAACAAAAGGTTGAAAATTCAATAAAAATTAAAAGCTTTGCTGGAACACAAAAAACAGAAATACAAATATTTCACCAAATCGGTAATATATACAGAGAAACACTTTCATAAGGAAAGAAAGCCTTCTAAATCTTTATTCTGATGCCTGCAAAACAGACTTCTTATCTAATGGCAATCGCCAAGAATTGCAAATGCTATTGTGTAATATACATATATTGAACTCGGGAGAGGTGGTCATGCTTGTGCGCCGAGCAGTGCTTCTCTCGATCAGTTTTTCCGCCAACTGGGCGTATGCTTGATTCGAACTCTGGCTGCCGCCAAGCTTGTTACTCATTCGCCGCTTGGACTTTGGCCAGCAGCTTTTATCGTGTCTGTGAACCAAATGCAGTTGCAGTCGCTTTGTTTGCTTCTCTTTATCGATGCACACAAGAGTTCCGAGTTTGTTAACAAAGGGGAAAAGGGCTTTTGTAATGCGAGACCCAAATCAGTGATTATCGCTTATTATTGTGGATGCGATGGCTCCAATGGTTCCAATGCAATATATAATGCATAATTGCTGGCCAACAAGCTGCTAAACGTGTGCACATTTGTCCACTGGAAATTGGCTGTTATTATGCATAATAATCGGTTTGGATTTGGCTTGGGGCCCGCAATGTTGGGGCCAGAATATGGGAATGCCCAGCATGGCACGCAAGGCGTTTGGCATGCTAATTAATTTGTCGCATGTTGCATCCACGTGAACTGGCGAATTTAGTGACGGAGATTGCATGCTCGAATGGTCCAGTAATTCACCTGTTTGTCTCCTTTATTATTGTGTAAAGTGTGCAATAAACTGGAACAGACACAATACATATGTATCTGTATTGTTTAACGATGACATAAGGTCGTTATATAAGGTTACATTTAAATACGCATGGATAACTATCAGCCTTTCACCCGTGAAATTAACCAAAACAATTGATTTGCAGCGTTAATCATAAAAAAAACACTTTTCAGGTTCAAGAATTATACACGGCGATAAGATAGGCATTTAGATTTGTTTCAACTTCAACTGGGCGTACTTGGGCAAAGAAACATCAACGCTAAAAGCTCAATAAACTGGCTTGAGAACAGCTGTCAGCGCTAAAAAAGGTCAGTAGCGAGGAAAGAGCAGCGATAAATATTTTTAACCCATTAATGGGTCACTGACAGATAAGCAGTGAACTGCGGAAGGCCATTTCTTAACTGGGTCAGCTGACAACGGGAAATTATGACCAGTTTATCCTTTTGTCTTCCGCAAAAGAACGAATATATTATTGAGATATACTCATATAAGCAATATAAATGAATAAAGACTAAAGACTCATTTGATACTCGCGCTCAGCCGAAAACGAATTTGTTTTACATTTCTTATCAGTCACTTTCATTATCCACTGCTCTTGTTTGTAATAACTAATCGGAGTGTCAACTTATTTTGGTAAACAATTGAATTGATAAACATTTCCCCAGACAGCCAAACAAAAGAATTCTCGGCACCAGCTGCACATCATTTTCACATTTGGAAATATATATATATACAATTTCCATAAAAGTGGCCTGACAACCAGCTCGAAAACAAGTTATGCAAAGCCACTGGCAATTCATTAAGATTATGTATATCTGTATCTGGCAGATACTGTCTGCATGGATGGATCAGGCCATACAGAAAAGGTTCTGTCAGATGATGCTGTTGCTAATGACGATGAGGAACTATACCGCCGGTAACCCTGACCCCAAATAACCTTGAGTGGGTGGCTATGGGCATGTTTTGCGGCATTTGACAAGCCTTTCTCTTTGCTAATTAGTATGTTTTCCCAAATGGCTTAAGCAACAACTCGCTGGTGATTAATAACAATCCTGCAATGGACAGTTTCGATTAAGCCTTGGCAACTGTCTTTGGCTTGCCTTGGACTTTGGACAACAACATGAAAGGCAGGCAGTCAGAAACATAAATTATTACACGGCGGAAAAATGTATATCTGGAAAATGTCTCACACAATCATACGTTTCTTTTTTATTAAAACAGGTTCTTTGTGGCCTGGCAACAATATTATTAATTGTGTAAAGAAAATTTCAGGCAGGTGTGACAAAAATAGAAGCCTTACACATAGACGGTTTTTATACGATTTTGAATAATAAAAATGTATCATGGAATATATTGCAGGCCTATGTAGGAACACAAAGGAGCCAAAAAAGGTGTTCTTTTTAAAATGATAAAGTATCATATTTTAGTTGTCGGATGGGTTTCTTATTTAAAATATTTTTTTAAGACCTAAAGATATATTTACAATGAGAAGAAAATACATATTAACATCTGCGTAATAAGGAAAAATTAACTCAGCTGTCAAAAAATAAACAAATAAAGAAAGCCCTTGAAAACTACCATACACTTGACTTTGATACTATATTCGCTTTAAAGTTCTTGAACTATTTGGTAACTTGAAAAAACAAAAACAAAAATATCTCTTAGGCCGCATGGAAAGCCAATAAGCCATATGCAAATGAGTTTTCCATGTTTTTCTCTCTGTAATTTAGCTTCTCTCTCTGGGGGTTTTTCCCAGTTTGCTCATTTACTGACTCTCTCAGTTGAAAACCGGCAAAATGAGAGCAGAGCGGAGAGCACCACAGCATTTTCTCAAAGATTCCGTCGAAAGAGCGGGATAATTCTCGCACAAAAGCTGCTGTGGCTCGCGGTGGTGTTACATGAGTGGTTAAGGTGGCTAAAACGCAAAACAACAATAAGCGAAAACAAAACAACACGTGGTGGGCGGGGTCAAAAGGAGGCTTAGTGGCTGAGGAGCTGAAGGGGGCGTGGGAGTTGTAACTCGAAGCCTTAAAAACCTTAACCTTCAGCACGCGTGCCCAGGTAGAAATGCCTCCAAAGAAGTAATGAAATGAAAATGAAAACGAAATGAAACGGACAAGAAGCAATAATTTCTGAACTTTAAGGCCGTGAACGTGTTTTGATTTCGTGATACTCCAGACCAGTCCAGTCCACCCTCAATATATATATATATATATATACTATAGACCATATATGGTTCGTGAGTGGGGTGTACGATTCCACGATGGGCCAATTTGTCGAGGGAATTCGCAGTGTATCTGTGATGAATCCATTAAGCCAACATTTGTCAGCATCGTAACAAGTATTAATTGAATTATTCACAGAGCAAAAAAGACCAGAATTCACACCTGCTCCATTATCATCGTTTAATTTTTAATCGGCTTGGCAACTGTTTTTATTCGTTTGTCTTGTTAATAGTTAATAGAGTTTTTTTCGGTGAGAATTATTTGTTGTTGTTTTGGTAGTTTTGCATTGTATATGTGTATCAAGAGGGTAATTTGGGGACATAAAAGGAAGGAGAGACAGCACTTGAAGATATATTCAAGAGTTCTTTTAAGAACTTTTCTTAATAGGCATTTATCGTACGTATATATATATATCAAAGTATATATGTGGTGGATCCGACAAAGCACGCTCACACTCACACATTCACATTCTCACTCTTGAACTTACACACTCGACAACAACAAAGCTCTCGGCGCTTAGCGATTTTATTTTATTTCTTTAAAGCGTAACGAATCCGAAAAAAAACGAAGCGAAAAACGCGTCCGCAGCGTTTGGACGCTCGGCAGCAACTATTGTGCTATTACAAAAATACAAGCTCACGTAAAATCTCCAACAGACAGTATAGAAGGCCTCTCCCCCTGCTCCATCATCTCTCATCCTCTCACACACTCACACCATCTCCATCTGTGTGTCAACAAAAGTTTAGCAGCTGTTCGCGTTGCTAAGCTTTTCATTGGAGGGAAGAGAGATTTTTATTGTGTATAAAGAGAGTAGCCCCCAGGCGAATTACAGACAAGAGTACTAAGAGAACGCCAAAAGAGCTCCAATATATTCAAGGCGGAGCTGCCAACTTATTGGATGAACAGCGCGCGCTTTTATTATCCATTCAAATATATTATAGTTTGGTTTATACAAATATATCAAAATATATCGAGCTTCAATCATGAAAATTACATAAGCTAACTCATTTGGAAGCATTCTTTTATATTCTAAGCTTAAACCATAATCTTTTGATATTTTCATGTTTAAGGCTCGATGTGTTAGTGATAAAATTTTCGACCTGCCCATTAAGGTCTTACAAATGATCAGCCCTCCAGGAGCAGGGTGGCTCAGTCACTGGAGTGACAGCCCAAAAAAACAGATGCCCTAACGTCTGGCGTTAGTTCCAAAAAAGTGCTTTCTTCACGACGAGTCCGAGCTGGAAGATGAGGACTTAGAGGAGCTGCTGTCTTCGGAACTGGAGTCGCTACTACTTGCACGGTGCTTCCTGCGACGGGCTTTCTTTTCGTCAATAACCTCGTAACTTGGCAAAGTGGAGTTGCTGGAGTCGGAACTGCTGCTACTCGAACTGCTAGACTCTTCGACAACTGCATCAATTTTGCGGGATTTTCTGCAGGAAATTCAGGAATTTAATTAAAGGATAACCACTAATAACCCCAAGGTATTACCTACTTCTTATCGTTTTTATCCGCGTTCTTGCCGCGCTTCTGCTTTTTGGCCAAATCGCAATCACTCGGGGAACTGCTGCAGGTGCGCTTCGACTTCTTGCCCTTCTTGTCCTTACGACGGGACTCCTTGTCTGTTCCACTCGCCTTGGTGGAGTACAGGTTCTGCGAACTGGCCGTGGAGTAGCCAGTGTCCTTGCGCTTTCTTTTTTTCTGGAATTCGAAAGATAATCAAAGTAGGATTTTAGGTAACATATGTTATTATACCCACTTGTCCTTCTTATCTTTTTTCTTTTTACTGTAAACCGCCTCCTGCTCGGCGTAGTCCTTGTCCTTGGCTCTAAGAAATAGCACGTAAAATATTGGATATCTATATTTATACCGCATATTCATCATTCGTTGATCACTCACTTTCTGATCTTCTTTTTAACATCGCCACCTCGTTCATTGGAAATCATATAGATGCTATTCTGATCTGCATCCTGAACTTTCCTTCGTGATTGGAACTGACGGGCCTTGGCCATACGACTCTCACGGCGATTCTTCCAGAACTCGGCGTTGACGACGTAGAGACGATAAAGCTGAAGAATTATCACCAAAGAGTTTTTACCTAAAATATTTTTAAATAATTAATATAATAAACAAATGTTTCCAACCGTAACATACAAGTAAAAAAGACATTCATGTAGTTAATGATTTTGTACTGGAAGATAATCAGCAAACGGAAGGTGAGGAAGGGAGCATCCTGGAGTATCACATTGAGTACGATGCCCCACACATCAATGCCACAGCAGCAGTTTTGGCAACAGTCTGTATGTCTGAAAGGTAAAAGGAAAAACATTTATAAAAAACTCTTAAAAAACAACTTAATGAAACATTTTAACGTCTTTACAATCAAAAACTGTTTAATTTACTCACTCTTCCTTCTGATGCGACCCACTGCCTCGTGGTCGTCTTCCTCGAGTGGCGGATAGGACAATCGTAAACTGCATGAGGCTCCAAGACCAAATTCCAAGGGTAAGGAACACCAAAAAGCCAATCTTTGCTATAGAATCATCCTTATAGGAATCGAAGAACTCAATGATATCCGCCGCCGTACCAATGTAGACCAAAAGCAGTTGACTGAGCTGATCCCGGGTAAGATCTCCTTTGGGCAGTAGCCAGCGACCCACGATCAGGATGAGCATGAGAAACTGCTCGATGAGGGTTGTCCAAGTATCCGGGGTCACCGAAATGGTGACCCCGGCCTGGCCCAGTAATGTTGCCACCGGAGGAACACTACTGTTGGTAGAACTGGCTATGAAGCTAGTACCATTGACCATAGGAATGGTGTAGTTGCTCGGATTGTAGACAGTGGAGTTGGTCGTAGTCATGTTGCCCACTCTCCGAGCCACCTTGTCCAGCTCCAGGAGCCATATCGCCGGCACAATGCTGCTCAGGTAGAGGAACACCGAGGGGCAGAACCTGGGGAGGCAGAGGACACAAATGAGGGTGAACAGCCAAAACAAACAACAAGTCTGAGTGATGCGACGAAAGACAAACAAGATTCAAAAGACCACTCCTCCTCCAAAAACCGCCCGCTCCATAAGAAATTCCATAAAAGTTCTTACTATTACGACGCTTGAGGTTGTGGTCGTCGTACACTTTAAATAAAATTTGACATAAATGTAAAAAACTTAGTTTAACTTTATAAACAATTTCCAGTCATTTTGTTAAGCTTACTTTAAGAAGTTGAAGTAAAACTTAATTCTTAAAAACCCGATTTTAATGTTGTATTTCTATATTTTTTCTCAGTGTGCAGGAGTGGCCTTAGGGTTGGTGGTTTTTATAGAAGTGGGTGGTAAGGTTAGCCACACATTAAACACATGATTTCACTTTTAATTGAAAATCAAAGCCCGCGACATGACGTCAGCCGTCGGCCGATTGTTGTTTACATTTCGAGTTGAGGGAGAGAGATAAATCATATCTCTATTTCCAGAATCCCTAGTCCTTACCAGCGCCACTCTTGTGTCTTCTTGATCATGATGGTGAAGATGCCCTCGAGCAGCAGCAATAAAAGTGGTCCACATAGTGTCCAGTATATTATATCACCCTTTAAGGCCACTACTTGCCAAATGGCCAACAAACTATGTGCACTAAAGATGATCCTCGTAAGGGTGGCTTTGATCGTCGAGATTATCTTGGCCATGGCTGCAATGACATAATCTTATAAAGGTGGTTCCCTGAAGCTAGTCAGCCCAGGACCAAAACAAAACCGAACCGCACTCGGCGAAAAGGCAAACGCAACTGATTCCAGCGACAGCAAAAATCGCTGGGCCCCAAATGCTTTCATTAGATGTTTAAACGCTTTTTAAGAAATTAAGGACACCGCGGCGAATGGCGCGTAATTGGTGAATGGCCACGGACCGATGTGTGTGTGTTCAGGACGAATCATCTTCGGTTTGTCCAGGGACGAACTGGAGGGAAGAAAAGTTAAGGTTTAAGCTATTAGAAAAGTGTCATATGAAAATACTGAAATACTTCAATCTCATTATGAAGAAAAATGTAGGAGTTTCAATTATATCCATTTAAGAAGCTTTTCTATTCCGTCAATATTTAATTGTTATTTGTTAATTATTTTATTTCATAATTTTAATATTACCATCTTGAGATTGTATTACATAAAATATGTACTTTTGATTTATGTTTTTCATAAGAAATGTCAATAAATACCTTTACTAGCGATAATCTTTCTCCCAAAACGCTCCTGGTAATGACATCCCAAACGAAATCGAAGCCATGCGTGTTATTCTTATGTGTACCTAGAAATCACACGACCATTAAATGCTTCAGCTGACTTTTAAGACAGCCAACGGTGGACGATAAAGTTCGTAGAGGTTCCACCCACCGGATTTTGGGTCCGGTCACAAATGCAGTGCAAACAAATCGCCGGAGTGAACGACGCCGAGCCTTGGCCATCAAAATGATGGTAATGTAGCTGCATGGAAAGTTATAGTCATCGTAAAACCACCCCGCCAAGATATATAACCGATGTTTACGTTTATGTGGTCAAAGTTGGGTCAATGTTTTGACCGCACGTGAAGTCATTGAGCAGGAAAAAAGTATGATGGTAGTGGACTGTCGCTGCCCACAGCCATGCTAGACGGGCAACCTGTTGATTGAAACAAAGGAATTTTCAGGGTTTATATTATCAGTTTAAGGTTATAATAAGTGTTTTACTTTTAGATGGAACTTAAGTCAAATAACTTTAGTTTGAAATCAACGAAGGGAAGTCCATTAAAGGTAAAAAACTGCATGAACTAGTGAATTTTTAGAGCTAGTTGCTTTAACAGAAAAATCTCATATTATATATATACCCGTTGGTTATCCTTATGCCACTTAATTTTTTTAGGTTTTTTATAGAATTTTTGATTCTAAAATACTTTAGTTATATTACATTTTTTTATTTTAGATTTATTGCTTTCACAGATATGTTTTATTTAGAATTGAAAACTTATCCTTGAATGCGGCGTTTAAGCAGATTGCGGATTCGACGGGCATTAAGCCGCTTGGACTTGGACTTCTTAGACTTGCTCTTGGAACTGGAAGTGCTGTTCTTGTTGACACGGACCTTGCGCTTGATGGAGTACTTGAGGTTCGAAATCCTAATCCGTTTGCGATGGACCTTCGAGGACGAAGACGATGACGCAGTGGTGGTTGTAGTTGCATCCGTCGTGGTGGTGGTATCACTTGCTGAGGTGGTCGTAGTCGTTGTTGTGGCATCCGTGGTTGTTGATGTAGTTGTGGATGCGCTAGCTGCCCAAATGCACAGGCTTATGGCCAGGATTCTGAGTACCAATTGTCCTGCCTTCATCTTGTGCTGTGTGATGCTGTTGATCTGTTAAGTGCCATTCCATCGCCTGGGAGTTTTATATCTTGCCAAGACAATAACTTCGCAAATATATATTTATATAATGCTCTCCCCAATTACGTCTGCGCAATATTTTTTGGCCATATTTACACAGTTTGCTGATCAAACAATGGAACACTCTGGAATTTCGCAAGAATAAGCCAATAGCCGTTTCTAGCTATTAAATTATATATTAAACACCGGCTGTTATTTTTACGACCCTCGTTCTAAAATAATCATACGGTGCACTAAGAGAAATAGATTAGATTAGATATAAATTTGATCCATTTATATAGAAATATGACAAATACATCTTAGCTTGGTTATCAATAAATTTCGATAATTTGGTTTTAAAAATAATATAAAAAAAACTTTAATTTAGTATTTATTAAAGTAGTCACATTTGGTCCTAATCAGGAAATTTTCATATAAATTATTTCAATATGAATCACTAATTTCGCTTTTTTTCTAACTGCATAAAAGTGTCGCCAATAAACTTCCTTCCCGAACAAATATCGTCAGATCCGGAATGGGATTAGGTATCTGCCTGACTGCATGTTGTGGCACATAAAACACTGCATAATCAAATATTTGCTTGGATCCAACTTGACTCCGTATTTGCTCGAACTGAGGGACCATCGAGGACTGTGGATGACATATATTGGTCCTGCAGATGACATCGATACTGACGCTTTTGGGTTGCGTGGTTACGCGGTCTCCCGCTGAGGCTTATCCAGTCAGAGGTCCTATATAAGTTGAGGAATTTCCAACCGTCGTTCATTCGCTAGTCTCCTGCAGCAGGTGTCCCGTGTTCTGTTCCTGTTCCTAGTCCAGCTCCTCAGGCAAATGGCTCGCTATATGTACATCGTTGCCCTAATGCTCCTGGCCATCTCCTCGCGATGTGGATTCACTGGAGCCATGGCCATGCCGGATGAGGAGCGTTATGTGCGAAAGGAGTACAACCGCGATTTGCTGGACTGGTTCAACAATATGGGACAATTCACTCCTGGCCAGGTGGCCACTCTCTGCCGGTATCCCTTGATCCTGGAGAACTCTTTGGGCCCACCCATGCCCATCAGAAAACGGAACTCGGAGCTTATTAATTCGCTTCTCAGCTTGCCTAAGAACATGAACGATGCCGGAAAGTAAATTGGGATAAAATACGGATTTGTTGACGGAAAAGAGCGCCTGCACTTTTGAACCACGGAACTTGGACAAGAACCTATTATTTAATGTTATACTTTTTGATTTTTGGTGCGCCGAAGGAGAGTGAAAGTCCGCATGATCGAGATAGGGTAGTTATCAAAAAGAGAGGAAAGACCGTATGAATTTCGTTGCTTTAAAAAATAAATATATAGAAAATTATACAACTAGCAAATCTAAGAAAATGCGTATCTTATTAGCTATATTGCGAGATTAGACGTTCCTGGAATGTTTTCTAACTTAATATGCGATTTTCATTCTATACGTTTTAGCCCGGCTAATCTTTAATCTATCTTATTTATAGACACCTTAATGGTATTAAATATAGTTTATTAAATTGGTCAAAGAGCTGTAAAGATCTAACCAATATTAACCAAAGGTGTTCGCCGAGTAGAATATGTTCATTACAAATATTAAAATAAAAATATAATTTTAATTTAAGTGTAGTCTGGTAAAAACTGCGTCACTCTGAGGGGTCTCACAGAAATTATGCTAACTCAAAAGCTGGCATAAAAAGGCTTTTAATATAACAAAGGCGAACCCACCTTGGAGTTGAACTTGACAAAAGAAATTATTTTTAGTCGTTCAAAAATAGACAAAGGCCAGAAAACATCTGTATGTAGAGGACCTTCAAAAATTGTATTAGGTCTACTTTTTACAAATTTCCCGAAAAGTTTCCTCATTTTTTTTAGTTGCATTTATTTATCATTGTCAAAAGTTTCCTAAATCTGCGAGTATGTTAACCGGATTTCTTCTTGTTAACATGAATCCTTCGAACATTTGTATATTTAAGGTTGTGGATGGTAAAATGTTTCCTGTGGACAGTTTTGGCAGCAGCAGTTGTGGCGGTCGTGGTAGTAGTTGCCTCTGTGGTTGCGTCTGTTGTTGTGCTGTTAGTGGTGGTGGTGGAGTTCGTCTGGGCAGAAGAAGGTTGGAGCAGGAAGAATCCGGCGAACAGGACTACGGCTAAGAGATAGGTTGCTAACTTCATTGTTTGGCTTTAAAACAATAGTGACTGTCTTCCAGAGATCTTTAGAGGCTTTATATATCCGTAAATCCCCAAATTCAGACAACACAAAACAGCCACAGATGAAGAGTAAATAGCGGAATACAATGAAAAATCTGCAAACCCAAAATTTGCACAGCACTTTTGGATGTCAACACATCTATTTGATGTTTACCCAGCGTAGCAAAACAGTTGTAGGCATGTTTATATGACGGCAATATATATTTTTCCTTATAAGATATATAACTATGTTAATCAATGTTTCAGATTTATATTAAAAATCGAACAATTCTTTACTTGTCTATGTGTAAGTTCATTTGGCGCTGTTTGAAATCGGTAAGAGTTTTGTATAGAAAACATTATGCGTATGCAATGTCTGATTAAGCATGAACTATGTATTTTAAGATGTATGTTAATGCCATTAAAATTATAACTTTAGACAATCGAATTGTTAGTAACTAGTACAAACAATATGTATACAATTTCTTTATGTTTTTTGTTTAAATTACAAAACAATCAATTCTCGCTGGCCTTTCGGTCTGACAATTAGAACAATGGTAACATATGCGAATGTCTGTATATGTTGATGCTTGCTTCGGCTCAAAATGCATTTTCGGTAGCTTTTCACTTACATCACTATGCCTGCTAATGCATAAATACTAACTAACTGGCCGTACTCTGCCTTGGCTAATCATTAACGGCTAATCTTGCATATCGTATGTGGCTGCAGCGGAGGCCGTCTCTCAGCACACTCGTGACTAAGTCGCATGCCCCAAAAACGATCTGGCCGCTGCTCTGCCAAGCTGTAAGGTAATACAAGTTCATTGATTACTTGAAATAATGCAGGATATCTTGAGTTACTCACACATATGGTTATAGGTTATAAAGCTTTAGCTGATTCCACAGCTTTGTATCGATTTTTATATATTTTTTGGAAACACACTCAATGGCGTTGACTTTTGCTTGATAATTGATGAAACGGACTCTCTTCCTTCACCTTCCTGTTGATGCGACTGTGGCTGTGGCGGATTTCACATGAAAAACTCGTTGGCTGAATGGGAAAGCGGAAGTCACGTTCGCCCCGGACGATCGAATATTGTAATCTCTATGACGCGGAGGCCCCGATAAGTCGGATCGATCAGCTGCAGTCCCTTGGCGTTGTAAATGCGTTCGTTTTGGGAAGCCACAAATTTGGATATCTTGCGAAGGGTCTATGGGGGTGATAGAATATTAGTTTGGGGATGATATATACAGGTTGTGGTGAAATCAATAGCACTGGAAATTCCCTTGCTTGCTGATTTATGACACCCATAATCCTAATAAGAAGTGACTGAATATGGGTATGTAAAACAAAGGCAATTATACTATGACATATCAGCACTTTAGGGTAGCTATTTCCAGGGCTATTACTTTGACCCAGTTGTTTGTAATCCAAACCCGAATGACGCACCTTTTCATAGTGCGTTTCGGAGCACATGTAGATCAAGTAGGCTGTGATGCAGCCAATGCAACCTTCGCAATAGGTTCCACAGGATCCCTCCTCGGCTTCGGCATAGAATTCGTTTAGCCTATTGATAGTGGCCTCGAAGACGTGTCTTTCAATCTAAAATTAAGAAATATAAGTATCTTAATTATAATAACTTACGACATACTCACCATGCCCTCTAGTTCTGTGGGCAGTCGTGTGTGGAACTTGACGGAGGTGCCTTCGCTGTAATCCCTTTGGATGAAGACTTTGCTGAAGACCACGCCCCCTCCCGTTGCTTGGAGCGTTGTGGGATTTCCGCCCGCTGGAGTAGTGCCACCGCCTTGGGACATTTTGTCGCTGAAAAGGCCAAGTAACGTATTAATGGCCTCGCTCTGGAGCACCCGATGCATTTGGTTAAGAGCAATCATCTTGACAATCTAGTAAGGAGTTCCAATCTCAAATGGACAGCTGGCCTTGCCTTTTCCAGCAGCCCCCCAACAGGGGATTCTATCTAAACTGGGCCATAAGCCAAGGCCTGCTTGGTGACCTACCTGTTTATCTGGGCTTCAAGTAACCTCAGTTGGCTTTGAAATAATCGTAGGAATCCTCTGATTGCCTTAAATTTCTTAAATTGGTTAAAAGATAAATGTTTGCAAACCCCAAGTGTTACCAGATGTGGAAACGGCTGTAAAACCAAATTAGTGTTACCATTCATTCGATAACATTCGCTGGTTAGTTGGCAACATCGATTACTATTAATCATTCATCGAATGTTTCATTACTCAAAACAAACTAATTATAATATGAAAAACCCTCATATTACCTATAACATATTTATAAAATTATTAAAAATATTGATGTCTATATAAATGCACTAAAAGTTATTTGTGTATCGAATTTATATAGATTGTGTCGTGTTGCCACATGGTCGGAATAATAATAACAGAAGTTGGCGCTAAATTTAAAAATGGATTTTTTGGTTTTCAGTTAAAATAAGAAAATTTATATAAATGGTAGCTAGTGCAGTTTCTATATAATTTTCCTGATTATCTTGATGTAGTTTGTTTTAAAAGTTAAACTTTATTATTAATTTTGGAAATATTATCGAAAATTAAAAAAATTTCAAATAAATAAGTTACGTAGAACTTTCTATTTGGGTTTATTTTGGGCAGCCGTGGCTGCCACCAGAGCTGCTCCTCTGCCGGATCCGTCCTCGGAAACAACCAGTTCAAACTTGAGGCCCGGTTTGAGGAGTTTCTTCATATGGAACTGGAGCAACTCATGGTACTTGGGATGGTAGCGATAGACACTGCCGTCGATGCCGATGATCACTTCATTGATGTTCATCTTGTTGATAAGCGTGACTAAGCCGCAGGCACAGAGCTTTGCCGATCTCGAGGATACCGCTTCGCAAATAAATCTGAGAGCCTCCTTGTCCGTCTCTTGAGTGCCCATCATTCCCAGGTCGTGGAGGACTCTACTGCAGTGACGATATTCCCCCGGTGCATCGCTTTCGATATCCGAAATATATGAGGTCTTAAAGCTCCATCGCTGCTGCAACTTTTCGGAATTATCGCCGACGAACATCAAGTTCTTGCTTATCATTTCTATGACGACCAGGCGCACCAGTTCACCCATATACATCCCGGAGATGCACTTCTCGAAGGTCTGCTTGCCGGGATTGGGTGTTATTTTGTCAACCACTCTGTCGTACGATGTTCGCACGAACTCGAGGACACCATTGTCTCCAAAGGCTCCCCACTCGCAGTTGATGACCATGGAAGGCTTAGGGCTAGTCTGATAGCCCTCGAAACACTCGGCATTCACTGTTTTCTCCACATAGCAAGCATTGGAGCCAGTTCCCACGATCAATCCTATTCGGCAGTTGGGGTGATTGTAGGCGCAGGACATCAGGGTACCCACGGTATCGTTTATTACCACTATATTGGTGATCTTTAAGTTTCCCCTCCGGTCGATGGCTTCTTGGAGTAGACTTACCTATGTACGGTTTTAAGAAAATTATAATTAATCAACCGAAACCAGGTTTATCCTTTCGATACTAACCACGTTTTTGCCTACCACGCCTTCGCAACTGAAACCCTTTGTCCAGGTCACCAGTATGGCCTTCGATAGACCCTGCTGTTGGCAGGGAAACGAGAAGGTAAATCCAAGAGACAAGGGGGTATCTTCCAGACCTTGTTCTTTGCAGAACTCTTCTAGGCTTTCGGCCAGGAAGTCAAAAAGCGCTTTTCCCGGTCCCGTCATTAGGGCCGGTGGGAAATTATAGCTCTTCGAGATGATTTGCACATCACTAGAGCTTACCAGGTTAACTATGAGAACCCGGAAATTCGTGCCACCTAAATCTAAGGCCAAAAACTTTCCCCGCTCCTTGCCTGTGGGTAGATCCTGGACATAGCTAACGAAGCACTTGATCACTGCCCGCGGATGTGTGTCCTTAGCCAGACCCATCTTCAACTCCTTGCCCATTCGTTCCACCACCTCAACCATCTTTTCTTGGTCGATTAAGAAGCCCTTAACCGCCAGTTCCACTTCTGAGTTGACAAGGCTCGGCATTTTCTTCCCAGGATAGCCGAAATGGCCCAATTACAATTTTAAATAATTTTGACTAATGTGCCGAATTGAGACTTAATGGAATAGTCTTGCCAACTGTTATTTCAAGGCTTACTTATTTTTAAAGAAACATCATTTTTTCTACAATACTATTTTTCAGATTTTTTGTAGATGATCGAATACAAACTGTAATATGTAATAATAAAGTTTCTTTTTATCAGTTTTATTTATAAAAATGTAACGAATTTTTCATTTAATAACATTTTATTTAATAATTTAATTTTCAGTAATCCATGGTGAACATTTTGGCGTCTGTTTTGTACTTGTCGGCATGTGCCATCCCAGCCATAATGGCCGCTCCCACTCCGCAACTGTCCTGAGTGATGACGAATTCAAAACCGAACCTGGGATCTGTCAGAAGGTTGGTGTACTTTTTCAAAACGGTGGCAAAGGTTGGATGTAGGCGATATATGCCGCCATCTACGGCTATAGAGATCTTTGGCAAGCGCATGCGATTTATGAGGCAGGCAACACCACTTGCCACCAACATTGCCGCCCGATTTGTGATCGAATCGCATATATATTTTAACGCAGCCAGATCTTTTTCCTTGCAATGACGGATGCGGAACTTATCCATTACCTCCTGGGCTTTGGTATAGACTCCAGGAGGATCAGATACGATTTCGATTAGCGAAATCATATCTAACTTCCACTGAATCCCTATATAGTCACGTCTATCGTCAGCGAAAATGGCACCCGATTTCATTAGGCGTAAAATTATGATGCGAACCAATTCCCCCATGCAGAGAGCACCACTGATCTTCTCGTACAATCGCTGACCGGGGGTTATGGACTCACTGTCCAGCTGGCGATCAAACTCGTTGCGTATAAAGTCCAGTACTCCATTATCCCCAAAATGAGCCCAATCCGAGTTAATAACCATTATCTTTTTACCCTCCTCACCCTCGTACAGTTCACACTTTTCAGTCCGTTCCACATAACACGAATTGGCAATACTGCCCATTATCAAGCCCATTCTGGTATCCGGCTGGGCCCAACATAAGGCCAATAGAGAACCGGCTCCCACATTGATGATACCCATGACTTCTACAGAAATTTCGGGGAACTTGGCTAGAGCATCGCGCAGCAACTGGACCACGTCCTTGCCAATAGCACCCTGGGCTCCGAACTCCTTGGTCCACGACACTAAGATACCCACATCCAAAGCATGTTTAACAAGGCTAAAAGCAAAGGCTATGCCCATGGGCAGATTGTCCTTTTCCACTTTCTTTTCCTTTACAAAATTGGCAATGCTGGTGGCCAGGAAGTTGAAGAGTTCTGTTCCTTTTCCTGCCGCTACTGTATGCGGCATTATGACGCACTTGGAGCTTGTATAGATATCCTTCTCGCTACTGAATTTCACTAGCATTATCCGGCAGTTGGTGGGCATTATCTCAAGGGCTAGGAACTGGCCACGCTCTCTTCCAGATGGAAGCTCCTGTACATAGCTCAGGTGACACGGAACCGTGGAACGATCGTGTTGATCGCGACTCAGTCCCATCTTAATCTCACGGTCCAACAGGTTCATGATCTTTTCAAGATCATCTTCGGTCGGCTTGAAAAGCTTGCAGATCTTGAAAACCTCCGGAAAGTCCACCTCCGGATTATATGTGTTGTCGTTTGCCATTGGGATTTCGATTTATAAAGATAAAATAGTAATGAGTAAGATGTAATAATATACTTCAGAATCACTGTCTTGGAACAATATTCCAAAAGACTACTACTTATAATCTTCAATTATTACTACAAATTATTTATATTATATAGGTATAGAAACCCATCTTTTATTCAAAATCAGATTGCTTACGAGTCATGAAACAACATTGGGTGCCTTATTTACAGGATAACGAGAAATGCGTCACAAAGAAATGCTTAGATCACTAGTTGAGTTGAGAGTTATCATGTGGATGTGGCGGTGAGCAGCTTTTCACTTCGCAGGATATATGGATATATACCAAAAGCTGCTTGCTATGACACAATGAATTCCGCCACACAGGGGCGCATCGCATGTAATGGCTAATTGTGAAAGTTGGGTTAAAACTCGCACTCTAACTTAAATCGAGGGGTTAGGCTTAAGAGGACAATAGTGAAGGTTACTAAATAAATACGCGTCACGTAAGAAACATATCCGGAAAATCGCTGTGCAGCGGAAGGTCGAAGGAATAACCATCCAATGTGGAGAGTGAACTAATACAGGCCGAAGGTTGCTGATCGCTGGCAAAGTCGAAGGAATCCGTCGACATCTGATCCAATAATCGCAGACTGAGTTCCACGTCCGGTTTTTCCAATCCAGACATAGGTAAGTCCCCACGACAACCGGGTAATAGGGTTTCACCACTGCCAGTGAGCAGACTTCCATAGCCGGGACTCAAGCAGGACAGGGAATCCCCATCGGAGGCATCCAATAGCAGGGAGTCTAGGGCACTGATCCCGTGCAGTCCCACCAAAGTGTCCATCTCCAATCCCGGACTGCTACTGCTGCTGTGGCTATTGTATGACGAGGAGAGGGAGGCGTAGGCGGAAGAGGCAGGCGATCCTATCGAGGAGGTGGCATAGCATGACTCTCCGGAACTTATTGGTGGAACTTGAGGCACTTGGCTCTTGGCCTGCTTTTGGTTCTGTCTTTTGCTGGCCGTCGAGTTCTTTTTACCACTTCCCTTGGCCTTGGTTGGTTTTTTCACAACGGGAACGGGTAGCTCCACTTCCACCTCAGCTTCCTCGGCCACATCGAAGTCCACTCTCGCCTCCCTATTGGCACTTTCCTCCAGACACTCTTCAATGAACTCACTTTCATAGCTCGGATCTTTGATTGAATCATTTAACATGGTGATATACTTCATTGCCAATCTCAGAGTGGTAATCTTGGTCAACTTCTCATTGGTATTGGCCGCATCTTCCCCTGTTATCGCTTGGGGAACACAATGTCTGAGGGTTTCGAAGGCTGTGTTGATCTCCCGCATCCTGGTTCGCTCCCTGGCATTTGCAGTTTTCCGCCGATACTTGCTCAATGGCGGTGCTTTCGTCTTGGACTTCGTGGGCGTATTTTTCCTTGATTTACTAGCCACCGGTTCCACTAAGGAATCCAACTCCAGTTGAAAGTCAGGCGGGTTGGCGGGTTCCACCTCCTCGGTGGGATTCCTTTTCTGGCGCTTCTGTCGCAGTGAGTACTTTTCACCACGAACACTGGTCGTCTTCCGTTTTCGGGATTCCTTGGTGTCCGCCATGTCGTCCATGTCATTCAGATCGGCGTAGTTGTGCAGCTCGTACGTGTTGGACTTCATCTGAAAGTGGAGTGCAGAGGCAGACTTTAGTCGAGGTTCTTCTTCTAGGCTTACGATATGTACGACTATTTCGAACCCATCCCATACCGGGGCAATTAACAATTTTGTACAATTTTTTTATATTTTATTTCAAACTAAAAGACATCGGGGAGCATATGGGGTCTGGGCAATCAAGCGAAACGGTTTTTTTTTCGGACCAACCCCGCCAAAAACTTCCGTAAACGGCTCTCGAATTGGCTTCAATGAACTGAAGTCGATTCTTGAGTAGTGCTTCCGTCATAAAACCCACTGAAGCCGAAAAACCGAGACCAAACGAAACGCATCAAACCAAAAAACTCATAAATACAATTTAGAAGCGGGTGCGGGGGCAAGAACAAAATTGGTCTTCGAAATGAAATTTCTCATTGCTCATTGCTCGTTGCGCAATCTACACAAAATTCCTAGTATCTTCTTGATCTTCTTCTGACTCATATTCCCGCACACAAATCCGAGTCATTTTTGCCAGCGAATAACTCTATGAGCTGGCTTTGCAAATCCTAAAAATGGTTTAGTCAAGTTGTTAAATTTTCTAGTCACTCAACAAGTCCATATTCGGTTTATTGTATTTCTCATCGTATGAGTAATGTAAAAAGTAAACAAATGATAAATGTTTTAGAATGTTATCTTCAGAAATGAAGTTGTAAATAGATTAGTTTGAACTTTTTATTGCAAATAAACATAGAACTAAGGCCACCGAAAGCGTATGAAAATATTTTTAAATTGAAATTTAACAGTTTGCAAGAAGATTCTGTTGTAGCTTAGAAAATAAATAAAAATGTCAATAAAAATTCCATCAGCTGCAATAAAATCTTAAACACGAAAGCTAATAAAAATAACTCGTTAAAATGCTTGCTTCAAATTCAAATTCATTGAGATATGGAAGAAATTATATATAAAAGTTAGATAAATTTTGTAATTTATTTAATATTCAAGATTTGTTCCTTACTTTTTTCTTGCTGACAAGCTAGGTTAACTATTTTTAAAAATTAATAAAATATTTACGGACCATTGCGATCAACACTAAAAATACAAATGAAGCAAGTAATAATTGCTTTAAGGGGTTCTTATCGCACATAAGTATTTAGTTCTAAGAATAAATTTGGGTTTTTAGTTTCCACAAAAACTTCTAATCTTTGTTTAATTGTGTAATTAGTCACACCCCATGCTTAGAGATTGTGATTACTGTAACGATTGAGATAAAAACATATTTGGAAATAATATTTATCCACAAATAAAATTTATAAACACTTTAATGTAGATAAGTTTGTTTTTGGTACGCTATACCATAGGGAACCGTAGAGCCAGAGAGGGGAATTGGCAAGTTTTAAATTCCCATCATTGCCAAGGGCACTATCTACTCCATTTGATATTGGGAAAGTTTTGCATTTGTGTGGTAAATGAAATTGTTTATTATTTTCTTTTGTTTGCGGTAGGTCAGCTATACCAAATATTTTCCACATAGCTTTTCACTCGCTTTTCCCCCTGCTATTAAACTGAATGCGCGTACGGATACTTTTTGCGGTGTCTGTTTGGCGGTTGGAAATGCAACAAAAAAAGAAACAAATATAAAGCAACAGTTAATGAATGCATTTTAATGCAAGAATTAAGTTACATGAAAATGTAACATGAAGCCAACGCAGCGGCGTCATTTCCACCTCCCAAACATACACACACACTCGTATGGAGATGGAGATTGAAATGTTTCTGCATCGATGCTAACGCCCTTGCAATTGTGCCTTGGCCTCATAAATCGCAAGTTAGCCAAGTTGCCAGTTTGCCAGTTTACCAGTCTGAATGCAGAGGTGTAAATGCGACCAGATTGATTGCAGTCAGTTGATCTAAGGGGAGCAGCTCACTTCGAGTTAGTCAGTTTAGAGTCGGCCTCACTTAAATGGACAATTTAGTGCAGATTGTCCGAAATTGGCTCTAGACGATTCTGGCCACCTTGCCCGATCCGGCTTGGATTGGCTTGGCTTGGATTGTTGGCTTGTTGGCCTGCTTGACACTTGTTGCATAGCTTTGACCATTCCCAGAGCTCGCTCTTGGCTTGGCCTAAACGAGTTAGGAGGCGTTTTTCCTTAAGCCATTGCCAGTGGGCACTTTTCTTCGATTACCGTTAATGCTTTTCTGTTTGTCTGGTCCGCAGAGAAAAGGAGAGAACGAATTCCAAGAGATTTCGCGTACCTCATCTTAAAATCCCATTCAAATCACCTTTCCCTGCCACAACTTTCAACACGTGGCTATGTTTTTTTAGTTTCGTGCCGGCATTTTCTTCAACGTTTCGCCTCTGATTTGAGGTATAATTAATTTTTGCCACGCAATCCTAAGAAATGCTTAAAGACCCTGCAGACAGAAGTTTCCAAGTTACACAATGTGCCCACGGATTGCATGCTCTTTCAGAAAGTTTTAAGTGGTTTTGTGGAATGAATTCAGTGTCTATTTAAATTCTTTTTTTTTCTTTTAAGTATCAAAAGATATTTCCTAAAAGATATTTGAATTATTTTGAATGTCTCTCAGTTTTAATCTATATACACATTATCAACTTTAATATACTAATAAATCTATCATTTTACAATGCCTTATTTTCAATATGTAAACTTTTATTATCAGATGTGTTTTATAAGTAGAAAAATCAAAATCTGAGAACTATTTATAACCTTATTATTTGAAACATATTCCGAAAAAGAAAATATTCTTCAGAAGTCCCTCCCCAAGGCAATGGAATGTACCCACTTGAGTTGTAAGGGCATCGTTAAAGTTTGCGACATGCAACAAACAAGCTGCAATTAAGCGCACAACACAGAAAAATTTGTGCACCGTCTTCAAAAGAGGGGCGGCAACCGTTGTTCACCTGCTCACACCACATTTTCATTACCGACCGCCCTGCGCTCCAAAACGACGTGAAAATTACCTAGTTCCGTGTGCTTAAGGTGGGGTGTTTGCTGTTGGGTGGAAAAGCGTGGAAAGTGCAGCGACTGGCCGCAATCAACAAATTGCATGCGATTAAAAGTATTCGCGGCTAATAAACGTTTGTTGAACAAACAGCAACAAGCGGCATACTGATTTTCGGGGGAAGAGTTGGTTGAGGCGTAACCGGAGGGATACAGGATATGCTGCAAGGAAGTGGATCAGGAAATGAGCGGGGCTCGTCGTGGGTGGCAGTGTACTAGTATACTATGCTATACTTTGTATAGGCCACTGTTTTCGTTCTCTGTTGATTGGAAAATTTGTTGCGCGTTTTTCGTTGGCAAAGTGCGGTGAGGGGTGCTTCTGCTTAAGTTTTCAATTACACGCCGGCACAATGCAGAAAGCGCCCAATTGAAATGCACAGACAACAAACATAGAACAGTTCCTCTTACACAAAAACACAGCCATTTCATTTCTACACTGGGAAAAATATTTGTAAAAAGTCAATCTAACATAAACCATAAAATCTGTTCAAAAGAATGAAAGGTGAATTGCTTAAACTTAAATTTAAAAATTCTTTTGTCCAGGAAATTAAAATTCTTTTTTACATAATTTTTTATATTTAATACATTAATTTAATTTTTAATTAAAAATGTTAAAAGTTATTTACTTTTCTTAAGATATTTTTTAGGAGCTATAAAAAGTTTATTTTATTCTCTCAGTGCAGCCCTTTCCCCTTCTCCCTTTCTCTTTCACCAACAACGAGGTAGACAAAAGGCGAGCCATGCGTGCGACGAGGCGTGAAGGGGTCTAGGGGCGGGGCAGGGGCGTGTGGGTGGGTCGGTCCGTTTCACAGATATATAGTTTTTTTTTTGGGAAAAATCGGATGTAGTGGATAGTGTGGTGAGAGGGAAGGGGCGGAAAGGAAAGGGGAAGTTAGCCAGGCCTAGCCGGAGTGCACTTGAAACTACCGGCGAGCGACTCCCCCCTCCAGTCTGCCCTTCACTTTTGGTTCGGTTGCAGTCGCTGCATTTTTAGGTGTAGCCATTAAATTTAGAACTTTTTCTGCACGCTTGTCTGCCCATGGCTTTTCCAAGGGTGGAAGGGGGTGTATAAGGGGAGGAGGAATTGTTGAATTCAAGGATTCGGGTAGTCGGGTGCGGTTAAATGGAAAATGAAGCGTCTGCTGCTTGGGCACAAAAAAAAAACACACTGAACCACATGAGGCAATGATAGAACGAGGGTGGATCAGGTAGTTGGGATTTAGATTTCATTTTATAAGGTAAATTAAATAAAGTAAAGTGATCTAAAAGAGCAATGAAGTGTAAAATGACTAACAATTAGTTAATGAATATCTGTTTTAAGTTATTTTTTGAAATATTTTGTTTATTATTATTATTTAAGATCTCTGCAATATATTCATTAACTCTTCAATCTCCCCTCTTGGTCGATCTGCTATATAATCTCCGACTGATTCAGATTGTCTCTGTGCCTGGCATGAGTTTGATTCGGTTGTTGTTGTTGTTGCCTTTGCCATAGCTCTAAAATTAGTTTTTATTGTATGCAACTTGAATTTTCTTTCACTATTTTTGTTTTTCTTATTTTCGTAGCGTTCTGTCTATTTTTTATCTCATTCGATTTGTGATTCTTAATTTGCTTTTTGTGGAAAGCGTCAAAATCTTTCATTTGGATACGACTTTGTTGCTTTTACTATACGCCTGGATATATAGCTTGTTATTGTTGCTGTTGCCTCGTGCTGTTGGCTGTTTTCTGTTTGCCAGTTGCACGTTGCACGTCCCATTGTGTTGTTGTGGTTGTTGTTGTTGTCTCGTGTGTGCTACCGTTGGCAGCTATTATTTTTAGCCAGCCTGCGGCAAGTTCTTATTTGTTATTTTTCTCTTCAATTTTTTCTGTTTTTGCCTTTTTGCCATCTTTTAGTTTTTTTTTTTCTTCGCTGTTTTCCTTTGTGTGTTTCATTTTTCCTTTTTTATCTTCTATGCTGTTGATTTGTTGCCTTTGCTTTGGCCAAATGATTTTGTTTGATTTTCCATTTACGTTGAGTTTGTTTATTAAAATTGGCACACACTGCGTATGTGTGATGTGGCCGTGTTTACATTCTCTGTCTCCCTTTATCACTGTGTGGGTAAATATATATATATATATATATATATATATAAAAGAGTAGATATACGTGTGCCTACATTTGAGTTATATTTTGATAGCTTTCTGTGCGGTTTTGTATTACCCATCGGCTTTTGATTTGCTTGATTTTTTGACAGGTCTCTGGCATTTGCCTTTTGGCTAATTTATATTTTTCTTGATTTTTTCCATGTTATTGTTTTTGTCGCCTATCAAGGGGAGGGACGAGTGCGGGTGAGCGGACAGATGTTCCCACGTAGGACAGAGATTTGGGTCAGGGGGACAGCAAACAATGAGGTAGGCAGTATATATAGAGAGGCGGAAGAGTGAGTCCATAATCTAATTTTAATTTTAGATTTATTCTTTAAAGGGATTAAAACCATGAAATTTTGATTTGATTAACAAATTGTGTGATACTTCATGGAAATTGTTGACTCAAAAATATGTTAGAAATAAAATTATTTTTATATGCTAAATACATTTTATGATTGTTAATGTTTTTTTATACTTTAAATCTGGACTCAGCATTAAGGAATTTGGAGTGAAGCAACAACGACAGTTAGTATTATTTTTGATAAAAAAGAAACTTGATTAAGTATCTAAAAAATACTTATATTTTCTTAGGACAAACATTGCATTCCAGAAATATAAATAAATAAATAAACGATGCCGTTGATTAGCACATCTCCATACTAAAGTGAGTGGCTGGCAAACTGAATTCATTGATAATGAATTCACAGCTTTTGTTTGCACATTAATTAAACTGTTTCCCCTTATTTTAGCCGCAGGCAAACAAAAGCCAAGTGGCTGCTTCCCTTCGGTAACCTTTGAAAATCAGTTGACAACCGGCTGTCGTCGCCGTTTTCCCTTGCTGAACATCTCAAGAACATTCTCTTCCCTGCCAGCCATACATCTGGCTTTTCAACACCTTGGACAAATAAATGTTTCAGAAGTTGCTCAAAAAGTTCCGCCTGCCACCCACTAACGTGATTCGGCCAAAGAAATGCCTTTTTGTCTATTTTTATTGGGTCGGCAACAAGAGATCGAGGAAGTCTCCTCTATATCTTCTATATAAAAATATCTGATATATATGGCTGAGGTATATTTACCTTTTTGATTTCATAAATCCAACTGTATTAAGCTGAGGGGTTTCTTCGGGATGACTTGAATTCGATTGTGCACTCCGATTAAGATTTGTTGATGTTTTTATTATAATTTTTGGTTCATTAAAGTGGCTCCAAAGTATGCAAATTGAAATTCCGACTAATTAGTCACCCAACTAATTTTGATAGGCGATCTTTTCTTGAATTTTGTTTTGCTTGGTTTTGGTTTTTTATTTTTTCAGAATTAAAGTTATTAGCTCATGCATAAATTTGGCATATTAACACAACAAAAAAGGTTTGTTTTCAGTTTTTATTTCCTCGAAACTCGAGAACTTGTTTTGGGTTTTGAATTGATTTTGATACTGATTCCGACTGATTCCGAATCGGTTTCAGTTTCAGTTTTAGTTTCGGCGATTTAATTAGTGATAAGAACTTTTGTTTTGTTTTTCGCGTTTTCTTTTGGTTTTGTTTTTTTTTGTTGCTGCTGGTAGGAAAAGCCTCGAAGAATGGATTTTCCGTTGAAAACGTGCAAGCCGCGTGTGTCAGTGCGGCGGGACGAATAAATGCGGCGGTATGCGTGAGGCCGGTTGCTAAAAATATCTATGAGTACGCGTCGCTCGGCGATATATATATAAATATATCTTTGTATCTCTGTATCTCTATATGAATCTATATCTGTATCCAATATCCCGAGTTGGCATACGAAAATACACGGAGAAAATGCTGCGCCGCGTCCGCCTGCTGCGCTTGTCGCTTGTGCACTGAAAAGATATATCTCGCGGATCGTCAATGTTGATGTGGCTGTGCTTGTGGATTGGCTTCGAATAGGAATGGGATGCAGCTAGATCAGCTGACTTCGCACACACAGTTGGCTTTGACTCCGTTAGCCAGGTTAAGTGGGCGGTGGTAGTGTAAGTTGGACTTTTAGCTCACTTGTCCGCTGCGCTGAGCGTGCGGCGCGCTATTGGAACGATCAATGAATGAAATGCCGCATTAAAAGGCAGCAAAGTCTCGTTTTCTCAATACGACGACCAATAAACCGAGAAACCCACTGGCGCTCGCCAACGCCAACACAAAAAACAACAAACATCACCAAGTCATTGAAGAGAAACCAGTTCTCTCTTTCCCCAAATATCCACCGACACGATGTGTGGGTGCTTTTTGCGTTGGCCGAATCGGATCGGATGGGATCGTATCGGATCGTATCGTATGCTATATGGTATAGTATCGTTTAGAGGTCTCAGCTGGGTCTTCAGCGTACTCTCTTGAGTGCTTTTCCAGATTCAGTTAGTTAGATTTTCGGTTTCGTTTCGAGTGCTTTTTTGTGGACTCTTTGCAAACAGTCCCCCTGAGATTTTTCGTATGATCTAATATCGTCAGGCAGTTATTTATTTAAATTTATTGCTAATTTTATTTGCTGCTGCAGCAGCAGCGTTTGACATTCATTTGTACAAGTCAGACATTGTTTGAGCTCACTTGAAAATAGTTAAAAATGTTTATTCGTTTTTGATTGAGATGGTATCAGCTACCAAGCTTGACTTGTGTCGGATCTCCATTTTTAAGGTTGAACTTTTGATGCCAGACCATAAATGATGATCATTCTTGATATTTATTTGGATTAACGTTGGATTGGTGGCATGGAATTATGATGCATGTCGAAATAAAGTTCAAGGAAATGTACTCATTTGGGAAGGAGTTATATAGGCATTATGAAATCAACTTCTTGAGTTGTTTCTTAGTTCCTCCATTCAAAATGTTTGTTAAAGATAAGAAAAATTTGAAATTATAAAAAGATTATTTATGTAAATAAATGTTAATGTTTTATCAGAAATTTTTTATTTTAGGAAAGAAGCATACTTTGATATTTCTTAAAGCTCCATTTTCAGTGGTAAAACTTTTGATAACAAACCATAAATGAATCTTGCTGGGAATATGTTTAAATGTTAAAATAAAATTCTGGAAATAAAAGTATACTTTGCAATCACTTTGGATAATAATTACCATATTTCACTACTCAAGAACTGGGCAATACAAAGTGATTAAAATTTTTTGTGATTTTATGATTTATTCTAATTCGTTTCGATCAGTTTCAGTTGATTTATTGGGTGTGTGCACTTCTCAAGTTGTTTTCACATTGCTTCTAATTTCAAATTGCTAAGCTTATTTCAAAGTCACAATTCATTCGTTGTTGCTCTTTCTTAACAAACAATATTGTTTATGGTCATTTTTTTCAGAGCATTTTGTTGCTTCACAAATAATTATAATTAACCGACAACGTTCAAATAATTGCAAAATGGATTTGCTCCTGCAGGCGAAACAAGTTGTTTTCATATTATTGTTGCCATGACGACATACTCTAGCTTAAGATCTCGAGTCTGCCCCGATATACTCATATAGAGTCATATATATATATGGACACTTGTAAATAAATGGCTGCGGGCATTAGACCGATCGACTCTCTGACTGACGGACGATTAATTTATCTTTGTGCTTCTGTCTGACGGCGAGTTCGTCATCGTTTGTCGTGTTTTGTTCTTAAGTAAATAAATCATGATGACAACAGTTAAATTTGATTATCATTTGTATATTGCTTTTTTTTTTTTTTTTTGTCCAGAAAGCATACATTTTTCACGGCACAAGGTCGTCACGCGTTTCAAGAGAGCGCAAAAGTAACGCATGCAACATTAATTTGATTTGCGTGCGAAGTGAGCTAAAAATTATATATATATATATGAATATTTTTGATTAACTGAGCATATTTAAAAAAAACATACAAATTGGTCAACAGTCTTGTGTTTTTTTGTCGCTGACAGCTTAATCTGCTGGACGACTGAGTCTCTGAAGACAAGAACATGAATAAGCGAGCCATAATTAAAAAAACAAACGTCATTTTTGAATGTTGGTTTTGTGATCAATTTATGGATGTTCCGAAAATACATAGGTATGGCAGTGGGGGGCTAAGTTCAAAGAAAATCATAATTTGAAAAAGAAATTCAAACTATTTTAAAGATTTCTATATTTTAAAGTAAAAAAATAAAGAAAACTAGCAATTTTACAGAGATAACATCTCAACGAACATTATTTTCAGATTTAACTAATAATGATATTCATAATAATCATATAATAGTTAATATATTACAATATTTATAATTATTAAAATGAATTAATACTATACCATAACAAATTTATTTAATTATAGTGCCTTATAGTTCCTAATCCGATCTAACAGAGGCACAGCCCCCTACATCACCTGCCATGTCTCACCATTGCTTATGCAAATGTTCTAAGTTTCCACTTTGGCTTTGGCTTTTAATTGCCAGCTTCGGAAATCGAATTTGCCTTAATATGGTCACAAAGCTGAGCGCGATGCCCGGCCAATTCCGATCCGGAGACCATAAGCTTTAAGGCTCCCCTCTTGGCCAAGTTAGATGGCCGGAGATCCCGCTTAGGAAGTCTGTGAGACGTGTCTGCGACCATTTATGGCCGCCACATGGGAAAGCGACGAGAAAGCTGAGAAAAAAATATAAAACTCTCTCAACTGGCTAATTGTGAGCATCGTGTGGCTTCGGGCCAAGCTTCTGAGCCGAGTTTCTGCCTTGTTTTTTTTCCATTATTTTTTTTCTTGCTACCTTGCCGGTTGTTAACTTTGTCTGCAGCCTCAAAAAAAAAGCGTTGGTGTCGCAGCTGAGTGGGCGGTGACTTGGGGCGACTTGAGTCAACGTTGATTTTGTTTTATATTTTACGTAAATTTATTATTACAAATATCATTATTGCCGCTTTCAAGCGGAAATACACTCGAGTTGGCCAGCCCACGCGCCCTCATGGTCATAACCACCTGCACAGGTTCTCTCTTTTTATCTTACCTGTGTTTCTTTTTGGCTTTTGGGAAGTGGAAGTTGGCTTTTTTTTTGAGTGGAATTGGACGAGCGGAAATGCCAAACGATTAAGTTGTTGTTTCTCAGCTCAGCTATCCATCTCGTTTTTAGTGATAATTAATTTTTTTAAGCACTGTGATATATATCTAATTTGCATAAGTGAGGGCCGCGTGGGTGAGGGGCATATGAATCAGTTGGTAAATTTATGAATGGCATAGTAAAGCCACTTTCGAGGGGGTTGACAATAGGCAATTAATGCATTGCAATTTACATTCCTACATTTAATTAATGTTTTGAGTGCTTTTTTATTTGTTGATGTTGCACAACCATTTGCCAGGCATTTGGATTTAATTAGTATAAAAATACTTTGTAAACTTAAAGTTTCTTGATAAAAAACAATGCTTAAATATTTAATTTGCTTATGCATTGTATTGGAAATATATTTTGATGTTTACTATTCAAACTGATATATTTATCAAGATTTCAGTACTTGTACCATTAATATCACATTGAACGATTTTATGCTTGAAGGTTGCCCAAAGATATTTTGAATCCTAATTATATCTATTATATAAGTTCATCCTTGACAACTTCACTAATTGTATGGGAAAAAAGCTTAGCTTAATTGAGATCATGGATATGCAAATCCAACTTTGATTTTAATAGCCATTGACATTAACATGGATCACTTTCGGTAAAATAGTTTGGCCTGCTCATATCAATCAACGCTTATTAGCCATGAAAAGCGTTCGCAACTGAAGCCAACAACTGAGCATCGAAAACTAATCGTGTGTGAAGAATAATGGATATGTCCGGGCATTGACAAGGCTTAACAAATCACACAAGGAGGCGAAAAGTGAAACTGCAGAAAAGTCAAAGCAATCTGAACCCACTGCCGAAGCCAAATGGCAGCCACCAAAGATCGTGGCTAATCGTGAGCGATGGTTGAATGGTGGTACTGCCTGCTCCCTGCTGTTGTCCCAAGGAACGTGATTTTGTATTTTAGCTTGGCCCCCGTCATTCAAGCATTTAAGTCATTTAACATTATGTATCACTCGTCGCTGTCAATTGTAATCCCCTTGCCCCAGCAACAAACACAACGCAACAATAACCACATCGACATCGGACCAACACCAAATAACAAACAAACAACAAAAGCTGTGCTCTGTCGTCATCGTCTGTCTGCCTGTCCGTTTATTGTTGTTTTTATTAATTTTGGTTCAATTAATTACGCTACAAATTGTCAACAAAATCGAAACCGCAGACAACGCACACAGGAACTCACACGCAAATGGAAGGTCCCGACGAGCAGCTGAGCTAATAACCAATGCAAATCTCAATGGACAGTAACACGAGTACTGAGAGAAAAGGGCTTTAAGTTGCCATTTGTATTTTTTAAATATATTTTGTTTATAGTCAGTCTAAATGTTCAGAACTTAAATATTTATAAAGACTTCATGAGATCTTTACAGTTTTAGTACAGTAACAAAACCTATTTAAATTTCTTTCTGTGCATCATCATCAGGCCTTTGAAATGACAGGGAGACATGCTGAGTGTAAATGTGTGAAAAGGGGCCTATGTGGGGATTGGAGTGTCCACTGGTCCATCTAATGGCTGACTGTTGGCGGCATTAACTCATCATGATTGGCCGGGGGAATTGGATGGGGCATGGGATCAGAGGGCGTATAAATATTGATTTTAAGCCCCGGTGCTTTCGAGATGCGAGGATTTCGATTTGGTGTCGCATCTTGGCAGCACACAAAACCACCGTACACCACCCATTGAACTCCCGTCCGAGTGCCAATTATAAAAGGCCACTCGAAATGCGCCGTCGAGTGAATAAATGTGGATGCCATCTGACAGTCGGGGTAATAATTTCAACAACATGTCAATGCCGATGCTCATCAAAGTGATTTCTGCAGCAGAATATGTTTCAGGTTCCCAAATATCCCCTTTCCCTTCCCTTTCCGTATAGATGTTGACAAAACGCCAACGCATTCGAGACGTTTCACATCAGCGATTGGTTTTGGTCGACATTATGTACACGACTGCACATATATATATATCCATCCGAGTGATATATATGGGTGCGTGTCTGTTTTTATAAATAAGTGGGCTCAAATAAAGAGGTAAGTGTGCTCGAGGGTGGCAGGTGAGTTGATTATTTTCTTTATTTCCCTTCTTTTTTTTGTTTTTGGTTGTTATTGGTGTCTGGGCATAGACTATAAATTTTGATATATTTAGCGGTCCAACATTGAGGCCATATGTCAACATCTATATATCTTATACAAATCGTGTTGGACTGCAGTTGACTGTTCATAAATATATATATGGAAAAATTTAACACTGCTGGTGATTTTTAGGCTACTGTGAAGACGCCTTGATTTATTATAGTTAATTTAATTTACCAGTAAACAAGCCCTTTGGTCTAATCGCAAGAAAGTCCAACAAAAATCTAATAATTATAAAGATAAACAGTTTTGTTTTCACTTAATTAAGTAATTACTTCCTCATCATAAACAGATTTAATTAAGCAGCAAATTCAAAACTTATTACCCAAAACTAAATAAGCCAATTAAAAGTATTTAACTGTATAATTTAATAAGTCAATTAAATGTATTTAAATGTATACCAAAATATGTCAATTAACAGCATTATATGCTGTTTGGTTTAGTTAAGTTGGTTTAAAAATCTAGTTTCTTATAGACCTAAGAAATATTTTAATTTACGATTCAAGGTGGGAGGGTGTCCGTTAAATGCTGATTTTATGATTATCAGATAAATTTTGATTTTAATGAATTTTCGTCATAGAAGGTGTTATCCCATTTTTGGCAATCATACCATTTTTTGAGAGATTTATAAAATTTAAAATAAATTTCTAGCCT